AAATCTGAGGCGAATGTACGTACTAGAAAAAAATGTTCAAATGCGGTCGTCAGTTGAAAGAAGAAAGTTCCAACGATGCGTGACTTGTTATATAACTGTCCAGCATAAATCTATTATGTCTTTGCTGAAGGAAACGTGCTGGACGTCGCAACTTGCATGCAATGTTTGTCTGAGAAAAATTGTGTTAAAAAACACTTTGCTAGCTCTCGAACTGGATCCAGTGACACGTGCAAAAGAACGCTGGTAGCAGGGAAAGAAGAGCTGAACTTTGAAGATCTACAAGAAAGCTGCAATCAATTATTAAAGTAAGTTCCTGGCGGCTTTATAACGTCTATAACCAGCAAGACCAAAAATCGTCTTAAACAATCTGGTCGTTGATAAAGCGTAGCCTGCGTGGTAGCCGTTTGACGTCAAACAGCAGATAACAAGGACACAGCTGGCCGCATGCCGATATTTCATTTCTTTATTCTAGTGAGTAAAACAAGCCGTTGGGAGATGAGACTAATGAAAAACAGTCAGTAAAACTCACCTAGCTGACAGATCTTTTCCTTCATACGGTTCTTTTAACTGTCTTCTTCTAGTCCCTTTTCAAGCTGAAATTAATGCCCTCAATTTCTAATTCTAACGATGAATTCGGTACAGAAATCTCAGTTACGCTTCGCTATAAGAACATATTTTTAAATGATTACTGAAACATCGATTAAGTTACTCAGTAGCGTGATGACGATTTCAAACAATCGGATTAAGGTATCAAGGCTGTGATTAGGCAATTAGTAAGGAAAATGCGGTAGTGCCAGGCTCCCTCGCGGTATGAAATTAGGCAATAACAATTTCACTTAGGTCGTGTTCTATTGGAGGTATTTGAGACCAACCGTTTTTGATTGGTTGGTTTTTTCCTTGTTCTATTGGCAAAAAACCGTTTTTGGTCTTCCAAAGAGTGTCTGTGAAGGAAGTTGAGCATCTCATTGATGTTTCAAGTCTTACGTCTTGCGATCTAGTAGACCCAGTACCGTCGCGTATCTTGAAAGGCTGTAAGTCGACTCTCTTACCAACTCTGACTAGCATCGTCAATCTGTCACTCCAGTCTGCGTGTATGCTACTCTGCGAGCAGAGGCTACATTTTCGCGGTATGAAATGGCGTGCGAAAAGTAGCCTTTGCCGACAACCGTTCAATTTTCTATCGTGCATGCGCGAAATTCGTCACGCGATTCGCAAGCAAGTGGTTCGTCAAATGTGCGTGAGTTTCGCCGGAATCAAAATTGCGAAAACTGCTTGAGAACCACTTGCGAACAACTCCCCTCGAGCTTTTGTTTTGTTTTTCTGCTTTGCCCGTGTGGTTTTAAGTATTTTAGCTGCAAAATTTCCTGGGATCGTCTTTTGAGAAAGCATTATGCTACCAATTGTAGCAAGTCTTGTCTGATTTGAGGGGAGCACATTTAACTCCAAACGACAGTTTTTTTTTTCGGCTTATTGGTATAGGTAATACACTCATGTTAAAGAAGTTTTTAAGCCAGAGCAAGAGATCATACTATGATCTCTTGGCTAGAGATAAACCATCTTAACGCCTTTGTAAAACTTGCTACGGACGCATTGATGCTATATATCATTAAAAAGCTGGAAAAATGTTCTGAAACGTTTTATGAAGCGCTGGTTTAACCCATGAACGACTATTCCACCGGCGCGTTTTTAGGAAGTTTTCATTTCAAAAAACGGTAGTTTCATGACCATTTAAGCAGTTAACTGAAGGTGCGAATGAGCTTTCGAAATTTTCTTATTTTTAATCTATAACAAGCTTTACCAGTAAACCATAGTTTTGCTTAAAGTGAAAAATGAAATTCGCCGACAACCCTACGCAGTAGTCTCACGATTGCGTTTTAAGCTAATGTTATGAATGAACATAGACAAAACAATAGTCAGAGAAATTATTTATCGAAAAATTTTATTCGAAAACCCATAATTTTATCCTCAAAAGCAATTCGCGTAACACTAACTGGGTCGTGGATCCTTTCACGCAAGTAAAAGCGGCCGAAGACATCAAATGTCAACGCCAAAAACCGTCTCGTAAAACATCTATGACACAACTATGAACACTTATATTTCCATTTAAAAACGGAATTTCCTTGACCATTATTAATGTGCAAATTGTACCTGAAAATCTTTAAAAACGTTGTCTCTTTGGCTTCTTTTCTGAACGGGACAAGCGTTCCACAGTGAAGATTAACCAACCAGTCTGAAGTCCTTGAGGGCGAATCGTTGTTCAGCTAAAAGCTTCTTTTCTTCTTTTTCCACTAAAAGAAAACTTATCGATGATTCTTTTGAACCCATCTGTGTCTTAAAGCGGAGCATTTAGCCTTGCATTAAGAGGCGACACAACAAAATCACCGCAGTATCCATTTTCTTTTCCTGGCAAACAAGAACTACCATCTGATAAATTAACGATCTTTACCCTGTCCCGTAAGAAGCACCGGTAGCAAGCTTGTTTTGACACTGAAATCTTAGTGCACGCTTCTATTTTCTCTAAATTATATAGTTGTAATTCATTACTCTATGGCCTTCCTCAATCTCAGATTGACGTCTAGAAGCTGTCCATAAGTGTGCTAGCTTGTGCTGCACGCCTTGTAACTCGTTCCAAGAAACATGATCATCTCACGCCAATTTTCAAACAGTTACAATGGCTTCCCATGTTCAGCCGTATCAAATACAAGATACTTAAAAGCCTTACATGGGTTAACACCTTCCTATATAACAGAAATGTTGCAACCCTACAGACCATCAAGAAGCTTGAGATCTTCTCTTAAAAGGCTTCTGTCAGTTCCATCAGCAAAGTTGAAGAAATATGGCTGTAGATCATTCTCATTTGCAGGACCTAACAATTTGGAACTCACTGCCACAACCCATGGTAATCATCAGTCACGCGCATGGCCATTTGCGTGTCTCGCGTTTTGCTCGACGGACTACAGAAAAAAGAGAGACTGCTCGTAGTCTAGTGCCGCCAGAGAAATTGATTCAACCAATCAGAAGCACTACCCAGATCTGGGTCATCAGTATGGAATTTCTGCGATCGATCGCTTCTCAGACGTCATTTGGCTGGGAAACCAGTGGTGGCGTCGCCAAATGTTGGCTGTTTTCTCAGGCTAATGCATGACCGTAGTGGAAAAAGTGTTGAAAGAACATTTATTTACTATATATTTATATATTTCTGATTTATAACCACTGAATGGATAAGGGGCACAAATATAATATGGCCACTGGAAACCAACAGTTGAGTTTTCGTACAATTCGTGAATTCATCGCTTTGAGGAACTCATAAAGATCAAAGTAATATTTATCCTTAGACAAGGAATGTTTAGATACTTGCAAAATCTCAAAAAATCGGTGCCGTTTTCAACCCATAACGAAGAAACCTTTCGAACCGAAAACTCGTATAAATAAAGGTATTTAGGTGCTATAATACCTCGTTGAAATTTTGGAAACGTCATGTGAAAACCGAGAATAACACTTGATGTACAGTCTCAAGAGAATTGCCCATTTGAGGACATCGCACGGTCGGATATTAAGAACGTGGTAATAACAAAACGTTCAAACACACTTGATAGTAGGCTAAAGATACGTTTTAGTCTTGGTGCAAAATGTTGCAGCTTTTGTTCGTTTGAAACTTGAAAGACAGGTGTCACCTTGAGGTCGATACTTTGAGGTAAAAAGAAGTGTTTCTTCAAATAAGCGCTCCGCTTCGAATTAGCGCCTTCCACAACTTCGCCTCAAGAAATAAAATAAGCACCCCGGGCGCTTAATTGTACATTCATATACGGTTAATCTTTCTAGTATGATATTGATTTGATATAATTCGAGACTACTTTTAAGTTCCAAGTGTCTCAAATAGCAAAATTACAAAAATAGTCCAAAAAATACGCACCTTTAAAATGAGGCCCAACGGTGCAAAGCTCTTCTTGGGAAAATGCGTTTTGCATAAGAATAAAAAATGATTTTTATATCAACTGACTTCACATTTAGCCTCGTTCTAAAAGAGAGGCTTGGATCAAGACGAAAGTGGCACCCTTTGTTCGCTCGGGGTAATTAAAAAAACGTATATCCATGTCTCTTTTTCCGTTTCATTGCGAAGAAAATTTTCTTAGAAAAGGGTTTCGCTGAGAACACAAAGTAATAACGAGTAAAAAGAGTTCAGGAGTAATTTCAACAGACGGGATCCCTGGTTTTATAAAGGAAAACCATTTTCAAAACTGCGAAGACGTGGAAAAACGGAAATAATCCAGTGTGCGTGTTCTTGTTTTTTGCCGAACAACTCGCGACTAAAAGTTTTACTTAATCACTGACCAGCTGTCTTATAAACTCCCTTAGAAATGTTTTAATCACAAATAATGCATTAAACATTTTGTATTTAGGAAATTGACTACATTTAGCGAATTGCGAAAAGTGTCTTCCTCGATATGCAAATTAACCCATTTACTAGGACATGGTACATTAATATGGCTAAAACTTTTAACAAAAAAGAATGATCATATTTTTTTCTAAGTACATCGTGCGGGCCGCCAAATGTAATTTGAACTCGGCGTGAGTTTGAAATACAGTCAAATTATGCTGATGATTCTTTATGATGGTGGAAGGGCATTGGTCATTGATAAAAAAAACGTATCCGACCACTGTGTTGCTTAGAAGGAGAACATTAATTATTCGATGTATTTAACGGCTAAGAAAGGTTTTAAACACATTAAAGACTCAGTCTGTAGTGGTAATAATATAAATTTTAAGGTAATATTAGAATTTGAGAATTTATTTTTCTAAAGCAGCTGTTTTCTAACCAGAGAGAAAAAGAACCATGTCTATATATTTTCAGTTTGACAGCAAAAAATAGTCAACCGACGAAGACAAAATTCGATTATTTTATGCCATAACATCAAATCGATTTTTTATAAATACCCTCGCCTGGTGTGTCATGTAAATAGTGTGTGTACTTGGAGTGTTTATTTTATTCTCTTGTGAAAGACAAAAGCAAACAGAACTTTGCTGATCAATTTCACTAAATTAACATATTTCACCATGGATATCACGCCAGGTGATGGCTTTGGTCGCAGTATATTACCTAAGGTTCCCGATCCTCAAGCATTGTTTCCTCTCTCCGGTGGATCATTGTTGAAATTTCACCGATTTTTTTTTTATTCCATCGCCTCAGGTAGGCCTCAGCAGTGAATTTGACTCAGTCACTGTTGTCTTAAATTGACTGAAGAATTTTCTGATCGAGATTCGTAGTCATGTCTAAAGAGAGTTACTTAATGATGATAGTCTTTGTTGGCTGTTTGGCCGCTGTTGTCTACAAACAACACGAAGGAATCGACGTCAAATCGCTCTGGGGAAGGTTGCTTCAAAGACTGGTAGCAATACACGGCGAAATACCCTGTCAAGAAGGAGGCGAAGACGATTATTGTGTGAAATCAAATTTCGAGGAAGTTTCGAAAGATGAACCATCGACTAATGCTCAGGATATAAATTCAAAACATAGTGATGAAAGTAAAGTTTTCTTTGAGCCAGATGCAACAGCAACTTTCACAAAAGAACAGGCAAATACAAGGCAAAATGGAAACATTGTTTCAGAAGAAAAGAAAACATCAAACAATCATGAAAACAACACTAAGTGGGGCCATATGAAAAAACTGGGCGAGCATGGCTCAGTAATCATTGAGGGAGAAATTGAAGAACTTAGTTTTGTTCCTAATGGCAAAGATTTCTATGAACACTTTCTACGAAAACGAAGGCCTTTGATTATGCGAGAAGCTATAAAGAACTGGCCCGCGGTGAAACATTGGGCAAACGAAAGTTATCTACAAGCAAAATACGGCGATGTCATCTTCGATATTCAGCTTACTAAAAAATATGAAGGCGAATTCCCCGCAAAGAGAACGATGAATCTCACCGAATTTCTTCAAATTTACAAAAGCAAACAGGTCTATTTAGATTGCCCGTTTCCCCACAGTGATATGATCCAGGATATATTTGTACCATATTGTTTGCAGTGCGAAGAAATCATGGAAAGTATTGCCAGTACGCATTTGCTTTTTAGCAGCGGAAATACAAGCTCCAGCTGCCATATGGATGGTTATGAAAATCTGTTAAGTGTTATCGCGGGGAAAAAGGAAGTTTTGGTGGCAGATCCGAAGTTTGTGGAATATTTTTATCCACGCAACCACACGACTGTCAATATTGAATCACCGATCGACCCTGAAGCAGTTGATTTGAAGAAGTTTCCTAAACTTGCTGAAATTCCCTTCCACAAGGTAAGCCGATGAAGAGTCAAACTACGTTTTTTTAACAATCATAAATATTTTAGCAACCTAAGGAAAATAAAGTTACTAGTATTTCTGAAGGTACAGAAGAGAAGGAACAACAGTGGTAATACATATATAACCAGGGTTGAATGCAATTTAATTTGTGCGGCTGTGACTGTAACGTTACGTTTATCTCCGCTGTCGTGACTATAAAGACCTTATTTATTAATTTTTCGCTGCTTCTCGGTACTACATGCAGTTATGCGCGTTTGCATTCTATATTTCTTACAAGTCAATACATGTAAATATTAACAAAGGAGGAATCTTCTCTCTCTCTCTCTCTCTCTCTCTCTCCCTCCATTAGCAAAGATAATTAAGTATAACGCTTGGTCCATGGACAACGTTATTTTCTATTGATATTGTATAATTAATAAACGTTGAATAATCGTAAGCCGTAATATAAAACCGTTATAGTTTCAAATTGGAAAGTTGAAGCTGGTGTTATAATTTATATTGGTTACAAATAATCTCAAGATTATACTCATTCTCTCTTGATTATAACAACAGGAACTTGACAACAAATGTGTAACAGAGTAACCACAATAGACAACTCCATGTACTAGGCCAGTCCTGATCGTGCTCGGCAACTTTTGAGCAACTTTTGGCGTTTGAGCACTTTTTGCCGTCCCACTAGCAACCTTGTGCAAGTTTTGCATTTCTGAGAAATTTTTTTTTTTTTTGGAAAAATACAGGTTTAGGAGACATATCCTTGAAACTACAGCAATTTCATTTTTGCATTAAATAAACACAACTAAACGAAGAAAGAAAATTGCTCAATTATAGAGAAAAGAACAATCATACAATTTTTTTCATGAATAAATTAGCTAGGTAGGCTTTAAGGAAAGTTCATTTAATATGACAAGGGGGGATGAAGATATTGAGGGGGGTTCTCGAAAATTTTAAACACCCGAAGGGGGGCTCTGAAAAAATTGTTGCGCTAGGGGGGGCTCCGAAAATTTGTATACTTCAAAACCAACACATGACATCATCATACAGATCGGATGGTTTTCAACTCAACAATTTAATGACCTATGCAGCTCAGCTATATCACGTGGTTTACAGAATAACAAATGTAGTCTCAGTAATTATTACACTCTTGTTCATCCCAAAAATGCTTTAGAAAATTGTATCACAACTGTATCTCAAGTTTGTCATAGTATAAACCATTGAAGACAATAACGGTAAATATATTTAATACAGTCTAGCGATTTTTTTCAGGGGAGCAAAGGAATTGAAGGAGGGGGGGGGGTTCTGAAATTTTTTCGACTACCAAGGAGGGGCTCCTAAAAAATTGAACCACTAGCGAGGGGGCTGCTAAAATTTCAAAATTTCAATATCTTTATCCCCCCTTGTCATATTAAATGAACTTTCCCTTAGGAGACATATATTTCGTAGAAACTACAGTTTATGCAAATTTCATTTCATAAGAGGCCTCAAACGCAATCAGCACATAAATAAACACCAGTAAACGAAGAAAATAAGCTTAAAATAAAAAAAAAATCGCTCAATGATAGAGAAAAAGAACAATCATACAATATCGCAAAAATCTCTCTTTTATTATGAATAAATTAGCTAAGTAGGCTAAGTAAGCTTGGGTATGCTAAGTTTCAAGCTGTTCTCTTGACCGATGTTAGTATATCGTGGTGAAGAACGAAAAAATAAAGCTTCTAATTAATGTTTGGGTAAAAATAGCAAGAATTATAGGTAGAAACGTTTTGGATTTTTGGCAATTTTTTAACAACTTTTTGGCATTCCAGTAAGTAACTTTCCAGCATTTTTCGAACACAATCGGTACAGGCCTAATCCTGGCGTATGATATTGCAGGCCTTCTTCGGGGCCCATGCATGGGACAAAGGGTGCGTGGAGGAAAAACTGTTATATGTAGTAAAATTAAAACCCGGACACCTGACAGAGCAGCCCTAAGGATTAATTGCGGTATTGACCCAATCCTAAACAAGCAACTACACCTTCACCGGAAAAAAAGGCAATTACTATACTGTAATTTCAAACCTATAAATCATTCGCAGTGCCTCACCCTATCCCCTTTTATGCCTATTAGTTATGAACAATGATCTAGACTGATTAGCGAAAGGACACTGAATTCAAAATTTGTGTTTTGAACTAAAGTATTTTAATATAGGCCGGATCACAAATTCTACACGAAGGTTTTGTTGTTGTGGTTTGTTTAGTTAATTAAAGCTGGCGCGAGAAAAAAGGAAAGAAGCGTCAGTAGACTTTATTTGGAAAAGATTTTTAAGTCCGCCTCCTCTACGCCAACGTCTCGATCACCTTCGCCTTCACCATACCAATTATTGGACCAGAAATATTGAAGAAATACTATACATATGTCCTCACTTCTTAAAAAAGCCGAACTGTGGGTAGTCGGCGCCAAATTAGTGTTGATATCCACTCAGACTATTTCAAATCTGAAAGCCGAGCCAGTGGAAAAAGGTAGAAAGCTAAACAAACTGATCGATCCATTCATTTTTGGCTTCTCTATCCACCCGTTTTGGTAATCAATGTACGTAGGGGTAGACCACATTATTGGTAAAACGCTAACAAGAGCATCAACACATGCACTAATTCAAACCATCAGCTAAAGCTATGCCCATGAACTTTCACTTTGTTACGTTTGTAACGGAAGTAAACCACTGATGTAAGGTCACGTTTCATTTCAAAGCACACCGTTTTCTACCGACTGATTAGCCAGTTTTCACGAATGTCCAGTTTTTACTTCCATTCGAACCCTCAAAAATTCATCCCAAACTGTCTCGATGAAGCTCTCAAAGCATTTGTTCAAAACTTCACTAACTTCAGAACGGCTATTGGAGGAACAGGTTTTTGTGAACGATTTTGGAATAAAATCCCAGTGTAATGAAATAAGATCAGACCTCAACTAATAAAATAGGCCACAAATTCATTAGGTTAGTTTAGGTTGCTATGACAGCTCTGATGTCAATATAGCATTTGTCATGACATATTCGTTCATCTTCTGAAACAGTTATTGTAGTAAAAATTTCCGTCGCTTCTCTTGACATTCTTGAGCATTCGATAAATGTAAACAAAAGGGGACTCCCCTCTTAAGTAAACAATGAGCGTGAAAGTATTACCTGTAACTATGGGCAACTCTATGTTCTATTACGAATTAGACTGCAAAACAGTCGGTTTTTTTCTCAAAATCAGTAAAGCGTTTCTCCCCAGTCTCGCTCTCTGTTTTCAGCCTTGTTCGATTCGAGACCTTTTGTTTGACTGCTCGCGCGTACTTGAATACGCAAAAATACGGACTGTTTTGCAGTCTAATTACGAATGTATAAATTAATAAATATTTTTTTCAATTCTTGATCAATTAATTGATTTGGATAAACAATGAATTGGACTGCGCGCAATAAGGCAATTAATTTCTGAGCAAAATCGTTAACGTTTGGAGTTGGTTGTTTTCAAAACCTCATTCTCATTCCCAGTTTTCCAGACGCGCTCTCGGCATCAGGCCACCGCAATATCTCTTAGAACGCCTGGATCATTTTGAATTCTTTGTCTATTGAGTTTTTTTTTCGTGCGATTTCCTGTCTCAGCTGTTTCTCCGCTCCCAGCATAATGTAACCAAAGAGGATCGCTCACCCGCAATATTTGGAAACACACGTTTCTTTGCTTGGGATTGGTCGTCAAGTACTTTCCAAGGAGATTATTTGGTTACAGAAGTATTCCTAGTCGATAAAACAACGATCGACCGCTAATTAAGACAGGTGACAAATACGGAAAATGAGCGCGGCAATCGTTTATTAGACTAGACAATTTTTAAATTTATTTTCCTATTTTGCTGAACAAGTTGAGTATAATATTAGAGTTGTCCAACTGTAATCCCTACAATTTTTTTTCCGCGGTAGATTTGGCTAACGCTTTAGTCCGCCAAAATGTCAAAAGTAATTTTTGCAGTTTTTCCTCTGGCGGTGTTGTTGTCGATGGATGTGTTAATCATACAACACAGGATGGTAGGCGCTCATGAGGATGTTGTGCCTTTACCAAGCGAAAACGCGCCAGACAAGAGCACCTTCGAAGGAACATCCGTTATCATTAAAGATGGTGATGAGAATGAGAGAAAACTGGACGAGAAAATACTCCTTGATGACGCATCTTCTAAAGAAGAAACTGTTTTTGAAGCAGTGTATGAACTTAGAGGTCATTTGATGAAGCTAGGAGAGCAAAGCCCAGTTATCCTTGGTGAGGTAGAGGATATGAGTTATGTTCCAAGTGGGAGGGATTTTTACAGCCACTTCATAAAGAAGAGGAGGCCGCTTGTGATGCGAGGTGCTGCTGCTGATTGGTCTGCTGTGAAATATTGGGCCAATGAAACATACATGAGGGAGCGATATGGTCATGTGGCCTTCGATGTAGAGTTTACAAAGCATTATGAGAGAATACCTCCCATGAAAAGAACAATGAACCTAAGCACATTCTTAGATATTTTCAAAACCAAGCAAGTTTATTTGGACTGCCCTTTTCCGCAATCTGACATGACAAGTGATATAATGGTGCCTTATTGCCTTCAGTGTGAGGAGATAATGCCAAATATACAGAGTATTCATCTACTTTATAGCAGTGGTAACACGAGCTCTGCTCTGCACCATGATGGCTACCACAATCTGCTCACTATTATTTCTGGGACAAAAGAAGTTCTCGTAGCGAGTAGCGACAGTGCAGAAAAATTGTATGCTAACAATTACACAACTGTGCCGGGTTTGTCACCGGTCAATCCTGAGTCAGTAGATCTTAAAAAATTTCCCAATGTTTCCAAAGTTGCTTTTCATAAGGTGAGAAAAGCAATTTTCTTTTGTATTTCGTATCACAATGCACCACAAAATGTTAGACTAACAAGAGACTCATTAGTCTTTCATGGGTCAGTTCTTTGGAATGGAGTTGATAAAAATGACAAAATAACCAAATAAATTGTAATGGAATAAAAGCATGACTTACTGCCCAATAGTATTTTATAAATTTACTATACATGAATGTACTTCATTCTTGAAAGTTCAACTGCCTTGACTTTCTGATAAAGAGGAAGTGACTCTATGCATTTCTTAGTAGATCACAGGGCATTGGATATTACTGGCATGTGTAAAGAAAAAAATTGGGATAAGGAAGATACAACCTGACCATACAGAGATAAAACAATAGAAAATTTTCTTGCCAAAAATGGGTTTCCAAGCAAACATGGATCACTATTACTCAATTACTTACATTTATTCATAGAAATTGATATTTATAGATCATAGATTTTTTTTTATTTGAACTACAGCAAATATTTTATAGTATATAATTATTGTAATATAATGTAACTGATATGGTTCAATTTTATCCTTTGTTTGAATTTTATTTCCCTTTGTTTTAAACTCATTATCATACATTACCATTAACCTAAGAGCAAAGGGAAATAAAATTTAAGAAACGGTCCAGATAAGAACGATGGCAACAACGGCAACGAACATGTTGGAATGCAAAAAAGGTGCTAACTTTTCTATTGTCTGTACTTACTTCTGATTGGCTTAAACAGCAAAAGTTAACAAAACTTCATAAAGCAGTACATATATTCATCCTTTAATACTTTCCAACCATATTCCATGTAACAAAATCTGGTCTCAGTTTGAATAACAAAGAAATCCTATGAGGGGAACATGTAAAATTGTAAACTTTTCTTGGCTATTGTTTTCAACTCTTGTTATTGGTCAGAATCTTTTAACACAAAAAAAACACTGTTTCAAAGTGGAATGTAAATGTATTTTATTGCGTAAACGGCCTTCAGGTAGGTTTATGCATTCTCTGTGTAAAAATAAGAGCATTTCTATGTGGGGAAAGCACTGTTGCCACATAACAAAAGAAATTTCTATCCACCTTACCCGGATCATTACTTAAACCAAGTATAAAATTGAACCACAACATAGCCATGTGCGTATGACCACTACAACCTTGATTGCATGTGGTCATTTTATGTGTGATGGGATTGTAACTGCATTAATTTTTCTCCTCAGGTATGACTTTCTGAAGTAAAAACAATCATGTGGTAGTCAGAAATAACTTTCTGGATCGCTTTTGAATTTTAGGTTGTTTTGAATGCAGGTGACATTCTATACATCCCACAGCACTGGTGGCATCATGTTCGATCATTTGATTGTCCAAACATTGCAATCTCCCTGTGGTTTCATCCTTTTAAACAGACAGAAGATGATGACGAGCTTTTACCAGGCGAAGAAGACGGCGTAAGGAAAAGGATATTGTACCAACTTACTATTTACTTGCCTTATATTTGTGTCGGCCCTTGTAAAACCTGGTTCTCATATGCCACTGAGCTACCTGCCAGTACTGCTCGGACACTCTTCCAATATGAGAACAGAAGTCGCCAGCAACAGAGGCCATGTCAGTCTTTACTGCCGGCACGCAGTCAAAGTTGACTCAAGTTCCACTTCACAAGCGTGCTCAGGCGGTAAATACCTGCGGTTTTTCTTGTTGCCGGTGGGGTTGTGTCTTCATATTGCAGGCAGTACCAGCAGGTACTTCAGCAGCATATGAGAACCATGCTTAAGGTAATCCAGATTGCTAGACTGATACTAAGCAATTAAACATGTATGCTAATAGCTATAGATACCCTTCTTGACAGATCTGTTCTTAGCTTAGCATTCATTTCTTGGTTTTTCATGCTGCTAAACTGGGGCACCCAACGACTGTTTTGTGTAAAATATCTGTTTGGAGAACCAAATATTGCCTAGAATTTTCTACTGCTCGAGGACAGTTACAAATTTCATGTACAATTTTGGAAACGTATCTAAAAAAATTCGCTACAATTTTCTGAAGCTTTATCTTTCACATTTTACTCTCCAAGTAATGCTTTTTTTTCGTAAAAAAAGGAAATGTAAAATTTTTGGATTCAAATTTTTGATTGAGATAGGAATCAGAAAAATTCTCACATTTGTGTACGGTAAAATGATATATTGCATCAGAAAAGTTTCGGAAAAATAATACTGAAGTCCTTGTAATTTCAGAAAGACGCAACCTTCCCTAGGATGTCCAAACTGATAAAAATTTTTTAGTGCTGCTTAGAATGTATTTCTATAGATCTAAAACTACACTGGATAGCCTAAAAAAGGTTTTCAATGGATTTAGGAGGAAATAGTCATTGGGTGCCCCTGGCTAATGCGGTAAAAGGATTGGAAATTTCTTTAGTGACAATCATAGTTAATGTCCATTTTTTTCATCAGACGAGTGACTTTGAAGATGTAGTGTACAGCTCAAAATTGTTTGACAAAGTTGTTGAGACATATCCTGACACGATCAAGTGCCACTCACAGAACAAGCCAATCACAGAGGCCTTTCGTCCACATTCTGATGCAATGGATACACCTGAGGAACCCATACATGAAGGCCTTTTTGTTACTCTGTCCAGTGGATACAAGAGTAAGGAAGTACTCTATAACTTATATGCATTTTGTGAAGATTTTTATTTCTTAGCTGAATACTTGTCATTGTGGAAAGTAGAACATGTTCAATTTTTGTTATAAGTACAAAGTTTTTCAAAAGGCCATCAAAAATTGATGAAAAAAAAGTTCAATAGAAAAAAAATATCCAGCTACAGTGTGGCTCCCTGTTTGTGCCATCCTTCAACAAAATTCCTCTAATGTCTATTAATCCTCTGAATAATCTGTGAGCAATCTCTATGTGGCATTTCATAAATATCGTGGGAAGTCACCCATGAGCACCACTTTTGTGTTCTGTCGGGGCTCATGGCTCCCTTCTCTCACCACTGAAAATAAAGAGCTTGCTTGCATGCTATCCTCTGAAGAGGTTATTGAAGCAGGGTTGTCACTAAGATTCAAGTTGCCAGGTACATATAACAAGTAGGCAGGGAATCAAACAGTTAGGGATTTCTTTTGGTTCTGTTTTTCATTTATTTTCCAATGAAAGTAGCCGGGGGGCCACATTCATAGTAGCTGGGGAAATTCCCGGCCCCTTGGCTCTTAATGACAGCCCTGTCAAAGTATTTTTTGCTTAAAGTCACGGTTTTTTCATGATTTTATCTATTTCGCTAACTAAGGGCTTGAACTAAAACAAAGACAAATGATTTAATTTTTTGAAACGAAAAGCTTCTTGTTTACAGGATAATCGCCATTTTACAAATAGAAGTGATTATCAAGCAAGACACAACCTCACACACATTGAGACAAACTTGAAAACAAAAAAGCAGGCCGCCTTTTTTCAAGTTTACCTCAGTGGTCGTTTTAATCTTGAAGTTTTGCCCTATAATATGCGTGGTGTTCTTGAATTTCTTTTGTGGCCTCTAAAAATTTTGACAAAGTTACTTTAAACTGAACCCAATAAGTTTTTCAATCAGTGATTTTTTGATCGTTTCTGCTTGAAATTGCCTATAATAGCGTGGTGACTTAAAGTGTGGCCTCTAGAACACTTGCAAACGCAAACTGAACCCAATAAGTTTTCAAAGAAAACGCTGTCTTTTTGTCTTGTTTCCCTCCACAGTGCCTAAGCTTGGTTTTGGTACAGCTGGTTTGTTTGAAGACACTAAGTCATCTGTTTTGTCAGCGTTGAATACTGGATACAGGTATTTTTTGTTGTTAGTTAATTTCATCATATTATTTACCAATGTCTGGCCCAATGATATTTGTGATGTAGTAGTTGAGAAAAAAATAAATTAAATACGAAGCAAGTATCAAACGGGACCTCTGGCATTTAACTGAAAGATTAAACGCACAAATCTTGAGAAACAATCCCGCGAAAGCGCGCGCGAGCCCGCTTTCCCATTCTTCTCGTGGCTTCGCGTGCTCCCTCGCGCTTCCCTCCACTGCCCCTCCCCAACAGAAAGTGCAAGCTACACGGGCTACTTTTTGAGCTCTGAGTTAAGTACGGCTGAAAGCTGTTGTGTTGAGTGCCAGGTTCTAATCATTCAAAGCATTAACTGTTATAGAGGACAAATACGACTTAGAAGATTATGCAATCTTGTAAATATACAAAATTGATACATAAATAAAATGAAAAATCAAGGAACTGGACATCGACACTATTACTTTCCCAGTTCTTCCGTTGGGATTACTGTAAGTCGCAAGATTCCCGCAAAACACCGCTAACGCGAAAACTGATACCTCTTAAAATATAATTCGGTTTTCTTCTTTAAATGTAAATGGCTTCTTTTTGAAGTACATGGGTGTGCGCACGTTTTAACTCTAGCATTAAACTGCTGTTTCTAAAACGTTTTCAGAATGATTGATTCTGCTCAAGCTTATAATGAAGAACACGTGGGCTTCGCTCTGAAGGAAAGTGGAGTACCAAGAGAAGAAGTTTTTATTGTTTCCAAAGTTCATCCTCGTTTCCTAGGATACGAAGAAACACTCAAATCTGTCGAAGAGTCCCTGAAAAAACTCCAGGTACAGATTTGATCTAGCTTCTTGAGGCCCGTTTACAAGCACAAGTGATTTTCGTACGATGTTTGGGGCGATTGTAGGCGCAATTTCAAATCGTTGGCCGATTTTACCAAAAACCTGTCTTAGGGAATGTGTTGACAAGTTCTGCGGTAAATTCTGCATATAAATGTAAAGCGACGGGAAATAGAAAGAAAATGCAGTTAAATTGCAGGAGGAAACCGGCATTAGCTTAACATTCTTTATTGAGTAGCAGAGACAGATTTTTCTAACCATTTAATCCAGTAATACACTTGAGCGCGATCCTTTTTTGCAGTCTCTCTTGCATTTTTACCTACCGCGTTTAATTTGTGTACCTGCACTGTTTTATTTAGTCAAGCTTGCTTTTTCTTAAATGAATTCTCTTTCTCAGTTTGGAGTTTCCAGTATTTTTGGATCACTTTATTCTACGTTACTCGAAGCTGCAGCTTTACATTTCTTTAATTTTTGTCACTTTAGAGGCCTTTTAGTTTCGTCTTTCAATGTTGCATTTCAAAGGTAGTTTCTGCTTTTTCCTTTTCCGAGTAGTTTAAAAGTTAACAAGTCCCTTTGCATCCCCTTGCAAGTCCCCAACTCATTGCAGGTGTTTGACAGATTTGTCCTGTGTTCTCCTAAACCTTCTTTAGTATTTTTCGGACTTGGCCGATAAGCACATCCCATACTCCCGGTGGGGAATTCCTCTGGAATATTTGGCTGAGTGTGTGTACGGTATGCTTAACTGAAACGGCGTTATCAGTATTTCAGAACCAAAAAAATTATCTTATTTTCCCTACCCTCTTTAGACCAGAATCCCTGTTCTCAAGAGTCAAGTTGTTTAAGAACAATACCCAATTTCAGGCCTTGGTCCCAGAGAGCACCAAACCACACCCTTTTTCACACCTAAACGGCTTAATTCTATACCCAGGAAGTGAGGCGACAAACACCGGACCCACTGGGATTTCACCTTGGCTAGTGCTAACATATTTGTCGATAATCTTGTGTTAACTGTTATAGGTCAGCTATATTGATCTGATGTTGATCCACTCCATGGATTGCGATGAGGGACCTGGTGCCCACTTGATTTGTCAGAAGGGAGAACCCAAAGGAACTTGGGAAGATTCATGGAAGGCTCTAGAATCACTGGTTGTCAAAGGTAAGACAACCGTTTTTCAATAATTGTTTTCTTTTCTTCTTCTCCCCCCCCCCCCCCTAAATTCTCTTTTAGACTGAGTGCAATTTACTCAGTTCATTAAAGAGCATTTTCATTCCAGTTTATTAAAGTCTCCCACGTTTTTCATTCCAGCGATTTGAAATAAAAAAAAAAACCGGATTTATCAGTCTCCCCTTTATTAAGTGGAGCACCATGGGTAAGAATATTTGGTTTTCTATGCATCCGAGAAATTTAGTAGTCACGTGACCGTACGTCCACCCGCCCGCCCGCGCGTCCTTTCGCACTACTGGCATACCAGTGTAGAATAACTCATGGTAACTTATGGCAACCCAAATGCAACTCGAGGTTTTTGGCGCGAAATCGCGTGGCGACCCGGACGTTTAGAGAGAAAATAAAACAACAAAGTCGAGGCTTTTTTTACACTGACGTGGATAACAGGGAAAGACCTAGAGCGAGAGATAAAAATCAAAGGAGACGAATTTTGTTGCAAAAGCAACATGAGAATTTATGTAGGCGGTCAGAAAATGAGAAATGCTAGCGGTCAGCAAGCTGCAGCCAGCAAGTTAAAAATGAGCGGCAGTGAAAAGATAGCAAACAGGAACACAAGCAACAAAACATTTTTTTCCATAAAATGTGTAACTGAATATCGCGTTGTGGTCGTGCAAAACAACGGCAAAGAAATGTACAAAAAAGTGTACTGCATGTGCAAAGTTGTGTTTTTGTTGCTAATTAGACTATTGATTTTAGCCGTTTTTCGCCGTTTAGCATTGCTCGATTTTATTTTTTGTTTTAGTAAATTATAAGTATATTAACGATAGCTTCGGTTTTAGCCCTAGCTGAATCTATATATTATTTATTTCTTTTTTCACTTCTTATTTGTTAGAAAATCTCTATATAGGGGGTCCTGAGGGAGGGAGGGAGGGAGGGAGAGGGGGAGGGAGGGGGGTGGTACCAAATCCCAGTTCCCAGCCAAAGTTTGGTCCAAATCCCAATCAACACTCTGAAATCCCATTTTCAGTATTTGCGGACTGATGTGCGTAATGAAGTAAATACTTGATTTCAATCGCCATAGTTAACTGGTCATATCGGGGAACACTTGCCAAATATAATCAGACGCCATTTTGATCTCAGTCACACTCAAACATGCGCATGTTATTCACCCGACAGCAAACTGCTGAAGTAACCAGACCAGCTATCTGGGTGCAAAAAATAAGAATAACTGGTATGACCCTATGTTTCTACTGAAGTCTACTGGTACAGAATATCATTTCTTTTATTTCAAAAAATAGACTCTTTTGAGCATTTGTATCAAATAATATAGTCCAAGATCGTGAAAGGAGAAAAACTCCTTTCCCATTTGAGAAACTGTATAGCCCTTTCCAAGTGGTTAAATCCCAGCCCCAGTGCAGTAAATCCCATTTTCCCAGTACATAAAAGTTTAATCTCAGTTCTCATTTTACCCCTTCAGGGCCCTCTTTATTTACTTTCGTGGTCTACTTTCAACTTTTTTTTTAAGCTGAAGCCGCGGCAAACTTTTATTAAATCGGGTCATAATCATTCTAGCTCTTTATAAGCTCTTTTTGTTACATAGGTGTAATCCGAAGTATTGGTGTCAGCAACTTTGAAGTTCAAGATCTACGGCGTCTACTGGAAATTGCTAGTATTCATCCGTCAGTCGTTCAGAATCCTTTTGATGTCTTCAGTCAGGATCTCGAAACACGACAGTTCTGCGACAAAAATAATATTCGATACACGGGACACAGGTATACAAAGCCTTTCTATCTCTATAAAGAGCTGATTCGTATAATCGCACTTAAGCTCTACCTTTTACTCTTTAAAGTAGATTTAAGAGAGATAACTGCTATATCGTAATACAAGAAATTCCTGAAGTATAGCTAACACAACTGGTACCAAGAAGTGAAATCCTGGAAAGAGGCTATTCTGGTACATATTGCGCTTACTAAGTGAACATTTCGGGTAGCATCAGGGTGGCTCGATACGCCTTTACTGTAAAACACGAGTTGCAAAAATCAACCTTTGAAATTCAAACGCCAGTAGTCATAGGTTTGGTTTGTTCCTGCTAGCATCGTTCGAGGGTCTCTCTTCTGTCCCTATACCAGTCCATGTGTCTCTATTAAAACAGCACTGAGTATTTGGAAATTCCAAGTAGACACCTAAACCTATTCAGGCTAGCCCGAGAACAAGCTCCCAGTCTTGTGAAATATATGGCGAAGAGAAAGGTAGAAAGCCCGAGGAGCGGGGAGGGGGGGCTGTCCTACGTCCCAAACCATTCCCCTCGGGAGCCTTTTCACTGCCTGCTTCAGGGCTTCAGGTTAATAACCAGTAAGACTCCAGGCTGCGATACTGATTATCATATGTTTAAATTGATAATTTTAAAATTTATCCCTGAAGAGCCCTATGGGATGGATGCGACGCACTTCAACCGGAAGTAAGGCTCTTTAACGTTTCATATACCCTGACGCTATTACATTTGTTTTGCTAAGCGTCTTTACTTTTCTTATCCAGACGATTTGTCCAAAAATTTTGGCGAAAAACAATGCTCAAGAATAAAAAAAGCCCACTTTCGGTTGACTTGCGTCGCTCAAAAACGCCGTTTCTGAAGCTCCCAATTTACACTTGTATAACATTCGGCACACTAATATTTCAGGAGCCTTGGAATTTTTTTGTGTTATTCTCTCAATGTTTAAAATGATACTTGAGAAAGAAATCTGCGAGCTAAGTTCAAACTTTTACCTTCAATTAACAGCACTCTTGGAGACTCGTGGAAAAGGGAAGGCATGCCTCTAAACCCCGTACTCTCCGATGAAGGTCTCCGAAAAATCGCCTCCAAATTCGACGCATCTATACCTCAGCTTGTGTTAAAGTGGTGTCTGGAGAGTAATGTTATTTGTTTCCCACGTTCTCGCAACCCAAATCACATCCAGACAAACTTTCACTTGTCTCACGTGCGGCTAAACCAGCAAGACCTGGAGTATTTTGAAAGTCTGGATGGAAAAATAATCATTCCCGAAGATGGTCCACCCTTCGATTCTCGTGCAAAGCCGAGCAGTTCCGATCAGGAAATTGCCGAAGAAAGAAAAGCTGCAGATGAAGGCGCAAGTAATGAGGAGAAGAGTATCAATGGTAAAGTCGTCTTAGTAGAAAAGGTTAATCTTAAGGATTCAACATTGTACCTTAGTTCTGATGATCACTGGATTTACGCTTTTGACTCTGCAACGGGAAAATTGAAATGGAAGCATGGCACAGCTGATGAAGGCGGTTCGAAATGCGTCTTCAACTCAGAAGGCAATATCGTGTACTGCGCAACAGACGACAATTCACTTCGTGCACTCGACGCCATCGACGGTTCCCTTATATGGAAATTTTCCACCGGCGGCGCCGTGACGTCTTCAACTCGAGTTGGTACTGACGGCACTCTGTATTTCGGATGTTTGGACGGCTTTTTCTATGCTGTCAACCCTGACGGCTCTTTAAAGTGGAAGCGGAACTTGCGCGAAGAAATCTGGTCATCCCCAGCTCTTCTCGCAGGCGGCAAAGCTGTATTCATTGGCTCGATGTCCGAGGGTTCAGCTAATGTCTTCTCGCTTAGTGGTGAAACAGGGGAGATGTTATGGTCGTACGAAACGGGCGGTCCCGTATTCTCTTCTCCAGCAGTAAGCCACGATGGCAGCTCTGTGTTTGTCTGCTCCTTTGACGCCAACTGTTATGCGTTTGCTGTCCAAAGTGGCGAGAAACTCTGGACATTCCAAGGGGACTCAAGCTTTCAGTCATCGCCGGTTGTCAGCAAAGCCGATGGCACTCTCTTTATTGGGTCAACAGAAGGGAACATTTATGCTCTGGATTCGACTACTGGAAAAGAGAAATGGACACGGCAAGGTAAGAAAGTCAAAGTGATAAGATACCCACGATCTTAATAGAAAGTAAATGTCCCGGTCGGATATCAAAAACTAATATCAACCGCAAGTTTATCTTTTCTCTCCTATGTTCATCATCATCATCATCGTCATTATCATTATTATTATTATTATTATTGTCAGTTCACACGGTTTTCTTGGTCGTCCACCCAGATCATTCAATGGTATCAGGTGAACTCCCGTCGCCTTAGGTATCCATCACCGTTGTTATAATTCTTGCTGTTACCAGTAAACAAGCTTTTTGTAATGGCAGAATACTTCCGTCGAGTCCTGCTTTCTTTAGATACAGATGGAATCTTTTACTGAATGTTCCGAGGGCACCAACGACGATCGGTACAAGCACAACTTCTTTACAATTCCACAGACGCTTCATCTTTTTTTTTTCTTTTTTTTAAAATTACTATTGTTATTATTGTTATTATTATTATTATTATTATTATTATTATTATTATTATCAGATATTATTATTGTTATTATAGGTACTTTATTATTGGGATGTACATAGAAATTTTCATTTTTTAGTTTATAGACAGTTGTTACAACATAATAGCCGAGCCTATTCCTAGGGCCCAGGGTTAGAATGGATGGAAAGTGTCTTTCGTACATGTGAGATGTTCCAAGTAGTGTGATCCTCTGTAGTTCACATTAATAGGTGTGTACTAAGAACAAAATTTGACTTGCACTCTGATTCCATGTAAGACATTATGTACATTCAGATTTTCTCGATTTAGGAAAGTAAGAGTCAATGAAAATGAAGTTGTTCTTCTCCAAGCCGGCTCGGGTATGTTCTTAGCATGTTCTTTATACTCTGGCAAATTTCGGGCTGACACGTTCTTATAAAAAAGGTTCTTTCAAAATAAGAGTGTAAACCTCGATAATAGTGATAATAGTTTGAACAAATACGGAGTTTTCAAGTTTTATGCCCTTCGCAGTTACGTAGCCCATAATAGAAGCGGGTGATAAGATTCAGTTTGTTTCACTGTCTGAGTTAAGTTGCTTCAAAGGCAGTTTTCGATCTTTGAAAATTAAATCGTTGAGTTATTTAAGAGGCATGTGACGCTCGTATGCAAAAAATTGCAAAGTGATGAATTTCTTTGGCCAAAACGAAGCAAACCGGGTTTTTATCAGTTTATTCTTCGTTTTCTTTTCTTTCCTTTCTTTGTTTACTGGGGTGTAAAATTTTTGAATATTTAACAAGGCCGGTTTACACGTGCGATATATTTTTGTGCGATTGATATGGCGAGTTTTCAACCAATTTTCAGATCGGACTCGGTAAGTACCAGGATTTTCGATAAAGGGGCCCCTTCTTCACCCGTTCCGGTGCAGTGCTTACCGTGCGAGCAGAGTTTTCTTTCTGGCATGGCTTTCAGTATTTACGTAGTTGTTCGTGCCGTTTGTCATTCGTTCCAAGAGATGAAAAGAAACCAACTACGTGACTCACAAGCGGCACGAACGACTACGTAAATACTAAAAGCCATGCCAGAAAGAAACCTCTGCTCGCAGGGTGTCTCAGAAAGGAAAATGATGTATTGTCTTGTGTAAATAGCATTAAATTTCATCCACTAGAAGTGTCGCTGCCTGCGTAGCTCAGCCGTGATCGTCTAGTGGTTAGGACACTGCGTTGTGGCCGCAGTAACCCAGGTTCGAATCCTGGTCTCGGCATTTTTTTTTCTTTCCTTCTTTTATTCTTTTTCTTTTTTTATCCTACTTATTTACTTACACTTTTTTTTCTTTTTTTAATTTTCCAGTAATGCACGTATCTTTTTTAGTGTTCTTGGGAGAAATCGAAACTCGGCTAACTGTTTTGACCGTCAGCAAACAACTTCCGTTCCTCTGTGAATGTATTCTTTGCCAGAACAAACACACGGGGAAAATTCAGAGACTCTTTTTAAGACAAAACGTAAATTAAAATCAAAAAAATTTAAATTTAAAAGGGAGAAACGAGCCGACTCGCGCTTTCGATCGTGCAAGCCTTCCGAAAGCCTGTTTAGAACGCAAACGATCGTACGACAGTTTTGTCGCTCACTTTTACACATCTGTCGGTCACTGCTACTTGGGAGACATTCTGGATGGTCCTGCTGTCTGTGATAATTTCTACATTTTGGCTGTTTTGTCCAGTCTTTCCATTCGCAAAACACTCTGCCTACAAGTTGCCTAAAATCTGGAATCCGGAACACGGAATACGGAGTACAAACTGTATTTACATTTCCTCCATCGCCATGAATTTGGAAGTTATTTATGTTAAGCATTCGGAAATGAGTATATGCAAGCAGTTTATCACCATAGGACAACTTGTACTCGTGCACCTACCCCGCACTCACTAATATAACTTGCCGAACATGAATTTTATTTTTTTCGCAATTTTCAGGCGATCGAAGTAACCCCTCAACCTCGCTCCGTCGCGGATGTCTCAAGCTGCATGCCTCAGCGGCCTTGCCTTGTGCCTTCGTCCGCTTGAAAAACGCGAAACAATATTTAAAAAGGCTTGTCCTGCAGGTTAGCAAAATTTCCCCCACAAATTACACGAGCACCGTTCTAATGTTCGTAAATGAATATGAGTTTGATTTCTCCCTGGATTTCGCCGAGCCGTCCCTTTTAAGCCTACGAATATTTTCTCATTGGTCGTTGAAGCAAATTTTTTCTTTCTCACTTTTACATGCGTTACGAGAATTTTGTTAATCCATTTTTGAAAATATAGGGCAGTTTTTTGTTTTTTTCCTTTCTTTAAACAGGCAAGGGAGAAATATTTTCTTCACCGTTCGTTGCACCTAACGGCAATGTTTACATTGGTTCTGGAGAAGGAGAGGTTCTAGCTCTTCGTCAGGCTGACGGGGCTTTAGTATGGAGTTTTAAGACGGAGTCATCGGTCTGGTCTACACCTCGTTTGGAAAAAAGTGGCCTCTTGGTCATAGGCGGTATAGACACCTATTTGTACGCATTGCGAGCAGACGACGGACAGTTGGTGTGGAAGTACAAGACAGATGGGCCAGTGGTGGGAACACCGCTGATCACCCGTGAGCATGCAGTGGAACAAAACTAAGACATTTCATTTTAATTAAGTACACCATCATAAGACAATAAATAGACCATTATTAATAAATATGCCTTACAGCTTGTACGCTTTGCTGTCCAAGTTTTGATTATACGCCACCAAGACGCCACTTCCTCATTTCCCATAATGCACCTTATTTGCCCTCCCCCCCCCCCCCCTCTCCAAATTTTACATAACCTTTGTTTTTCATTTCTCGTGGGTATTACAGCCGTCCCAAGGGAAATTGAAAACAATACTTATTCAAAATTTTGGTGGGCAAATAGGGTGCATTATGGGAAAAGTGGAAGTGGCGTATGTGCCGATACTGAAAAAAGTACTATCTTTCTAAACCGTCGCAAAATTTATTCCAGACTGGCAACTTAAGGATAAAATCTACAGAAAATACCGTGTGATCTTCAATGGGTCAGCAAAACATACAAGCTAATATAAAGGTCGACAGTAAACGCAATGCGAGAAAACACATTTTAGTCGCAACACAAGTAACAGTAAGGAACTGGGTTTTTTTGTAGCTAGGGATTTAGGTTGCGGTGTGTTTACATAACTATACTGATTTGGCGTGTTCGGTTTTCAGCGGAGCTACACGGGAGTGAAATTCCCACCCTCAGTTCTAGCTCTCACCCAGTAAATCGCTGTGGTCGTATTACTAACTACCCCCTAAGCCAAGCTGTCCCAGCTTGGCTTAGTCTAGTGTTTAATCATTTGTCCCATACCCTAATACAATTGAGCATGAATAATGTGTAAATCAGGAGCCCATGTTAAATGAAGATATGATCGTCGCAGTGTCCTGAGCAATTGCAAATTAACCTGTAAAAAATTTCGGGACTCTAACGGGATTCGAACCCATGGACTCTGCGTTAGCGTTGCAGTGCTCTAACCAACTCAGCTATGAAGACCCATCCGCATTGAGTTCATCTGGTTGAATAGATTTCTTTTCCAACCAATGCACCCTGTTTCCCTTAAGAAGGTGTCTCCCCTTATGACTTCCCAGTACTATAAAAGAAAGTTAAAGGAAAGGGAAAGAGCGCTTATTCTTGCTAGTTTGTCGGAGAGAGTGGGTGCTTATAACACTAATAATAGCATGGAATACTAAAACTTGTTGCTTTATGCTTAGCTGTGAGCGAAAGTGTAAATATAAAACGAAAACTCTCATTTCCTTCAAACAAATTAAAATAAATGTATTTTATCCCACCGCGAGTATCCAAGGAGCGTACGTTATCTGTTGTGGGGGGCAAGGGGGCGGTATCCCGGGACAAACGGGGACGGGGGCAAGGGAACAGGAGATGGGGACAAAGCTGGGTACGGGAGTAAAGAGTGCAGGGTACGGGAAGCGCAACATTTCCATCCACCAATTCATCTACCAAATTTAAGTCTTTGAAAAAGGTTATAGGTTGAAATTCCGTACACACAAAAAAAGTTAGGACGACTTAGCATATGGCGCTTATCATTCTGACATGATGAGTAAGGAGACTGATATTAGCTTACCGTATTTCCTGGAGCAATAGCCGGAGGTGATTACTTTTTTTGCGCCAAAAGGGGGCGATTATTCAAGGGAGGCGATTATTTTCAGATATTGTTCACTAGAAGTCGTGCCCTAAATATTTTGTTCTATTTTGCCATCAAATCAAAAAATAATCACATCAAAGAAACTGAACATGGGCTTTTTAAGTGTTCCACATTTGGTTCCTTGATTAATTTTCATTGTCAATATCCTCGGTGTCGTCTGATCAGTTTTGCTGGATTATCCTCCAGATTTACGCGATTAATCGAGGGACGGCTGTTATTCGAGGAAATACGGTATGTTGAGCGCTTGCCACTGCCCTGTTATTGATCATGTAATTGGGAAGACCTGACAAGTTTCCTTCTCAAAGTAAGAAAACTCTTGTCAACATTTCCGTTAAAACGGGATTTTTAAAAAAACGCCAGGAATAAGTTCTGCTAAATGACAGTTCTGTAACATTTTGCTCATTCAAGCACAACAAACACTTACTATATAAATTGATTGGCTGAACAGGCGAAGTTAAAAACCTAGCCTATGAATTTCCGCCCAGGCTTTCAGCAGCATTACTATGACCAACGAGACAAAATTAAACGAAAGAAATAGGGTAACGTTTTCCACGGCTTTGCTGTCGTTTGCTGATGTCCCACGCCTAGCGGGTGCGTGTCGAAGCAAGTAAATGAGACTCAGTCGAACCTCTCCTTGCTACCACTCTCGTAAGCGACCAGCTCTAGATACTAACCATTACTTTGTAATTATAATGAAAAGCTCTCACAAGCGTCCGCGACGACTTTTTTGGATTACCCAACTGGACTTTTCCTTCGTTTTTAAGCTCTCACGGCTAAGCAACCACTCAGAGTCTTCTCATACAGTCGAACCTCCCGTAAGCGACCTCCCAAAATACCAGCCTCGTACTCAGGCCAGTTCGCGCTATCCGAGCTACTAGCTTAATCCACAATCGCCAAGGACGACTGGGAACGAGGCTGTGGAAATGATTGTCAGCCAGGCCTGCAACTGGTCGAAAAGCTGGCTACACCCCTGATCGGTTTCCCCTATAAATGGTAAACACTGGCTAAATTTTGCAAAGGGGAAAAATCTGCCAGTAAAAACCGTAACCTCTAGCCTAGGTCTCAATCTGACTGCGTGAGAGATCTAGGGGAAGTAAGTGAAAATGAAATAAATATTAAGACGAAAGGGAATAGCAATTTTATATGTTAATTTCCCCGCAGCAGATTATAATCATTTCAAGCCTTCCATTCTATTATTCCTGAACTCTTAGCAGGTACTGAGTGTATCCTGTGTACATAGGAGCTCGCATCAGTATTTTACAAGGAGGTAGAAAGATCCTAGCACCAGGAAGTAGAAGGCGAAATAACTTTTCGTTGGGTTGGTTGGCAGGGATTTCGGTGGTTACCAGGTAGAGAAAAGATTAAAAAGGGCGCGCGACAACGACAAACATGCATTTAGGCCCTTCAGCTCTATTTACTAAAGTAAATAAATACCTTTCAACAGCAGCTGGCAGAATCATCACAATCATCAGCTCATGGTAACGCTAAATGAAATTGGCGGCCTTTATTGCTGTGATTACCCACCTGCCGCCATTTTTGTCTGGTTTGTCCTTGTACTAGGATCTTCATAGCGAGGAGCTAGGAGAATCCAAGTACTAGGGACAAGTACAACTTTTAGCACGTAAACTACAGGAATACAGAAAACCTATGGCGCTAGGATGATCCATCTTCTAGGATCTTCCGGCTCTCTCCATGGAAACAGCCCCTTAGTAATAAGCTGCTTCAAATTGCGGAAATAAGCTAACCCAGGCACAAGCTAATGGCAATAAACTGTTCCATCAATTATTTTGTAAAATCTTTCAGTTAAGGAACACAACACACAACGCTAGTTTTAAACTTTTTTGCCGATAGTGTTAAAGACGAACTGTGTGAAAAATTTGAGATGTCGGCACTTTTAAAGGTATGTACGCGCACTCTGGCTACGCTCCTGTCCTGTTTTACAAAGTTCCGTATGCGATATACATAGTATAATGAATTAAATCCAGTATTAGAATTAAATGTCATTAAAAAAACAAAATACAGTTCTGGTTAAACGTTTAAGACACTACCCAGCCGTAACCCTCTGAAACCTGTCATAAGAAGGTGCTCAATACTTAATATTATCAGATAGGACAATGCGCAATAAGGTTATGTGAAAGGCACATAACCCCTGTGCCTCTGGTTTTATCGTAATTATACCATAGGTAACGCATGAAAGTGCGATGTTGTTCACAAAACGTTACAGTACGTATCAATAAACGACCACACCCTCTCATGAAGCGGACGCGCCTCATCCGCAGACACTATTTCACCTCCTTCTCCTATGCGCACCTCTAACCAGTCCTCAGAGGAACTGCCTTCTCTTCTAGCACGGTTTGGTTTCTCTGAAGCTTCTTTGATCTTTCTTTCAAAATCATTTCTTGCCTGCTGAGATGCAAGGTACGGCGACGTTTTGCAGGTGATACCATCTATGGCCTAAAAAAGAATTAGAGCAAGATTACGATGTTCTCGTAACATTATATGACTGGTATGATGGCAGATGTTTTTGCTCTTCGCATAAGAATCATTTGCGTTTGAACTGATCACCTAAAAAAACTGAGGGGATAAACTTTTCCACGAATATTTTTTGAGGGCAAATGCCCCCGTCCTGTCCATTACCCCTCTGCTAGCTATAGCCTTGATCATAAGTTAAGTTAAAACAACAACAATTTGCATGGCCCTGAAATTTCCACTATAAATTGGATCGTCATCAGGGATGCAAACAGTAACCGTAAAGATACTCAGACCACTTAGGAATCGCAGCGAGACGAACACTCCAACAACGCCGAAACGTGAAGTCCGTTTCCTTACCTTGATTAACTTTGATAGTTGTCTCTTGTAAGCCTCAGGTTGACTGTGTGGCTTAAGTCGATTGTTGAAGCTTATAACTCTGTCTTCTCCGATCTGATCGATGAATGTTTGAACCCATCCTTGAGACGTTTGTAACCACGTATCCACTAGTTCATCAGGAGAGAGAGGGGTTTTGTCTTCTTTAGCCTCATGCTCGGCCTGGTCGCAAAAGGAAAGGACGAGGATGACGTATTTTCTCACATTATCGCCCAAAAATCCTTGAAGAAGTTGAAGCGCTTGAGCATATTCACCAGTGAGCCTACAGCCATACTTCTCTACAAGAACGATCGCATCGAATCCTTTTGGGGCCAATTCAAGAATTCTGGAGACCTCTTTTTGCAGATCTCCTGGACTAAAAGATCCAGGCGTGTCTAAGACATCAATTTGTCTTTCGTCAATCCTGCGCCCAAACTGGAATTTTGATGATACTGTAGATGTTGCCCATGAGGTTGTGGTAAAAATTCGCTTCCCAACTATACTGTTTGCGGTTGCACTTTTTCCACTTCCAGCTTTTCCAATTACAACAATAGTAAGTTTTTTTCCCTTTGGAAGCTCAATAAGGAAAAGAGAAATGAAATATATCATAATATGATAGAAGAAAAGGATCGTTTATTTTTAACAAACAAAGATACTACTGCGTTGGTGATGTTCTATTAGCTTAAGTACGAGAAATTTGAATTTTAGGCTTTGGGACAGGGTAACAATTTTTTTAGATCGTATATTTCTTTTTATGCATATCCTAACCTCCATTACGGTATTTATGAGTTGGGGAAACACATATCCAACCACATTACCTTTTAAAGTCCAAACAAAATAATGTTAGTGCATTTGCTGCAAATAGAAAACGTAGTGCACCCTACTTCAAACTCCTCACCGGATAGACTCAAAAAAGACAACATTCTTAAACTTTTATGATGCGGATGCTAGCCCACAAAATGGAACCAAAGTCCAAAGGCTGAAATTTTCGGAAAGGTAAGTTTTGATCCCTATAATTTTCGGATCACTATAGACTAGGAAATCCGAACAGATAATGTTTAAGTGATTTTGAACTATATTCTCGTTGGGAGTCCCTGAATAAACATGAAACACTTCTCGAGATCAGCGAGGTGCAGAAATCGCGACGAAATCACCCTTTTTATGTGTGATCGGTAGTAACATTATTCCGGTCTGGTTTGCGTGCCAGCGCAAAGTATAGTGTGAACAAAGCCTTGGAGTGAAAAAGTCACATAACAGAGATTGAAACGTTTTAAAAAATCTCGAGAGAAAGTACATTTCTTTCTGTAGTTTTAGCGTTACGAGCAATAGGCTAAGTGTTATTAATTACCAACTAGACGACAACCATAAAGCTTGGTTATTCTTACCTGGATTGTGGAAGTTATAGCCTGAAAAAAATGTTGACTTTTCGTTAACGAATATATCGTGATTAGAATCTTGTTATACGATATAACTCACTTAGTTATTAAGTTAATTCAATATCATTCTGTCGATTTGAATTCGTTTAAAACCATTTTGCTTCATTTTATTAGTAAATTAAAATCCAAATTGCGGATTCAAGATATAAACTTCGAATCGTGAGGTAGGTGAACTTCGTTGGTTTAGACGTGTTTTTTACGAGTTATACTTCCTTTGAGTCTCATTCTTCTTTGTTTCAAAGTTCTTAAAATAACCAAGAGATGTAGGGAGCGGAATCCGTATCCTTAATGCTAGAAAACAACAAGAATAACAACAACAACCACACAACAAAATGCGGATAAAATGTGCAGCATTAAAGCTTGCTTCCAGCTTGGTTCTATTCGAGTGTCTTCGAATTTAAAAACACCGGAAGCTGCAACATTCTTGGTGTGAATAATAAAAAAAATACTAATATTTTCAAGTTGGCAGTTGGAGAAGGGATAATCAAAAGAATAAGACAGAATTAGTGGCTTTAAAATGTTTTATAATTAACATGCTTCTCAGGTGCTCAGGCACTGAGGACTTGAAACTTTCCTCCACAGTAAAGAAGAAAATACGAGTCAATGCAAGTTGTCTAACCTCCTCTCTTGTGAGAAGATTTCTCCAGTAATTAGTAAACTTTCCTTCCTCGTCAATTCCATCCAAAGCATTTTCATACGCCATGAAACATTCGTTGAACTGGGTATCAGCTCCGCTAGTGTCTAATGTAGAGATGGCAGCAGTAAATGTTTGGCACACTTTTTCCAATTCCTGGCTAAATCTTTTCATGTCTTCATCTACTTTGACTGCAGCGTCTTCAACATAAGTCTTAACCAGATACTGAGCAGTGCGAATATCATCAAAACGGCTTTCTATCTCCTCTACCGTATTAGTCAAAGCCATATTTGGTAAATATGCTCTCGCAGATGGTATAAGTGTCCCTGTTTGTTGAAGTTCCACCTAAATTGCGCATGAAAAACAGAAATAGAGAGGAGAGAGAAACGTCAACTTGCTCACCAACATTGACTAATTGATACGCTGGATGCCCGAGGTCATATCATCTTTCTCGCTGAATGATACGTCAGGGTTTTTAAAAGAGTAAACTATATGCTCCGGCCGTAAAAGAGTCTTCAATGAAGTAAGCGCTGATCTTACTTTTTGTTCGAGGATCAAGCAACTAAGTTAATGGCTCCCTATTTACATGTAGAAAATAAGACTAGATAAGACTCTATCAAAAGACCGTTTTTTTTAATTAGGATATGACTGATTGCGGGAATATATAGAAACTGCTGTTCAGTGGTCAAAAGGACAGATTGACTGACGTTTATCAGTTAGGAAAAACGATCCATTTCTCCCCTAACACTGGTAAACTAAGCTATGGCTGCACCCAGCGTATAAAGTACTATGTTTTAACACTATCAGTAACTGTGAAGTTGTGTATTACATAGAAGTGCCCATCCATCCTTGAACTCGCACGTAAATAAAACAACACTGAATACCTCAATAGGGATCTCTCTTCCATTGGCTATTGTTTTTGATCTAAAGTCACGAAACAGTCTCATTAACTCCTCAAGGTTTTGGGTAGTTCCAGCTTGGTAAGGGACCTCCGTTGTGTAGTAAGTGACTGAAATGTTGGATGCATCGCGGCAATTCGTTGAAATAGAGTCCAGCTGGTCGGACAAAGCCCCAGCAGTAGCTTCAGAAGTCAAGTTCCCCTCCACAATGCCGTTAAGACTAGACCTAAAAATAAAGTGTTCCAGATGGACATTGATCTAAACAATAACTTCGTCCTCAGCGGAAGTCTTTCTCTCCTTCTGGGAATTTTCCACATGACTGTTCGACAGCAAGTAGTGCTTTCTGCTCCCATTTCTTATTAACTGCATGGCTGACCTTTCTATCAAACTGACCATCTATTTCAGGAATTTAAAAATTTACATTACGTTGCTAGAGAAAATTATTTGTCTAATTCTGAATAAAGAAAAATTTTTTTCACATACCTCAACGAGTTTGGAGGAAAATTGAGCTTGATGCTTGCCACCATCTGACCACCATACGAAATTTTTCTAACGTAATGAGTGCCTAGACCATCAACTAACTGCTCTCTTTTAGAGATGTCGTTTGGTTTCACTGAGTACTCTGCTTCCTTGGAAACCTTTAAAATTAATATTTCGTTTAAGTTATAACCAAAATAAGCCTCCGCAAAAGGCAAAATTAATTAATCAATTAAAAGACCTAAAAGACAGTTCACCACGGTCAATGTAAAGGGGCTCAGTGACGGCTCTCTAGTTCACTTTTCAATTTTATTGCCAATTAAGCTGGCGTCCTTATATTTAATAAGATATACTGGGGAAATCACCAAGAAGAGGCAAAACTTACGGGAAAAATACTTATACTAGGGTGAAAGATGAAGAGGAACAGAATTCATTACCGTAATGCATGTCATTAGAGCCAATATTTCGGTTTTCTCTTCCTCGATTTTTAGGTTGCCATTAAAATACTTTCCTGGTCCTTCTACAGACAACATGTTTGCCTTGATCCTTAGTGGCAAATCAGAGGGTAGATTCATTAACTCCTTCACTTCTGAGTTTGAGGACACAGCTTTGAATTTGAAGGTTAACTTGTTGACATGCTCTGTCTTGGTTGGAATATCTGCGGGGAAGATCTCAATGCCCGGTCTGGCGGTGTGGCAGTCAAATGTGCATCCAAGACGACTTAATGTAGGAACAGTAAATGCAGGAATATTCATCGCCATTTATAGAGCAAAACTGAAAATATATGTACAATGAATTATAAGACTGAACAAAAAGTCTCATAACTTTTAAATTTATAAGAATTTAAAACTGCTCTGAGCTCACCAACAGTCGTCTACCCAAACCTTGATCAAGGGCGGCTAGAAGCGTACCATCTCACTTCTAAAGATTCTAGGAATTTAATAGAATCTAGATAAACGATAATATTCAAGTTTATGAAATGGCTGGATGAAGTAGTGAATCCTGTGTTTCCACTGGCTGCCCGAACGGGTAAGATATGCCTATTTAGTATTTACCAAATCAGTGAATAGGAATTTTAATTTCGCGCGTTTTTATTACCTTCCGTATCTCGAAATATCCTTGGTCATTCACGGTTTTGCGACCGGGGCCAAGATGGTGTCTCGTTTTAAGACATTTTCGGAAGACGAAATTTGAGCGATAAATGAAACTTACAAACAAATACCAAGAAAGCGATGAACTTTGGCATGTCGGTGTTTGCTGGTGGTTAGAAAATTTTTTTCATGCTGAATTTGAAACAAAATCGTAAAAATGCACTTGACAAAATCGCCGAAATGTTTGTAAATTGTAGACAAAGTTCCTACTAAGTGACGTTTTTAATCTACAAAAAGTTACTTTTTTGTTTTTATCCAACTGATTTGGTAAATACTAAAACAACTATTCCCTTCAGGGTCGGTGAACAGCGCTATAGATATGTATCGAGACGCGATACCACTACAGGGGATAGTTATATAATATTCTTGAGAGTTGGAAAGAAATATTAATTTCTAATGATATTAATTTTATTTTATTTTTTTAGCTTCGCCTATCACTGAACAATGAATAATAAATGCTTAATAGGCAGGGGTGCCACAAGAGCGGTGAGCCAATAGTCCTCTTGGCCGGCATATTATAATGAATCCTTTATTAACCAAGATTCTTCGGTCAAGATGGTTGGAAATAAGCCTTGTCTTTTTTTGCACTTTTATGGACCGAGACGACAACTTGGCCTGTAAACAGCTATCTTGACCTTGCCGCTTTGGGCAATATCGCAATCTTTTGTAGGCCCTCAAAGTATAAGATTAAGTTCCAAATGCACTGAACCGACATTTGCTTTAAAGAGAAGGATAACAGTTTCAATAGAACAAAATAGACCGAGTTATTGATTTCAGTGGTCGCTTAATTGTGGGAGAATGAAGGGTATGATAAATCAATGCTGATCGCTGACAACTTAAGCTCAGAATCGGTCTTCTTGGAAAAAAAGCAAAGATAAACAAAATTTAATCAGTTTGGGGGCAAAAGGTTGTATTCTGCGAAATAGACTTTTATTATCATCATGAAATATCGTTTACAAAATATACAATACGCTCTATCTAACTCGTGCAAGGATATAACTCAGTTTAGCAGAAATCTTTAGTTCTAGCGGGGTGCTTTATTGTTAATCAATCCACCAAAGTTTTTAAATCATGATAAAGACGTTACGGTTGTTATCGTAATTGAACGTCCTTCTTCACAGATTGACTTAGTTGCTTAGTCAGGACTCTCTGAATTTACCCGACGGCAGGGGGAATTTTCTGATTTAGCTTAAAAAAGGTACATTTCGTATATTAAGACAAACTGGTGATTATTTTTCCCCGTGCACAATATTGATTACGGATTGAAGGAATGCAGTTTTGTAGTTATTAATAACGAATGTCGTTTGAGTACCAAAGACACTAACGGAACCGACGGATGACTAGGAACATCTGATACATGAACGAGCTTTTAGATAGACCACTTGAAATGCTTATAGCTACTGTCTAGTAACTTACTTACCTTACATGTATCGTTAAAGAATCACGTCAAGGCTAGGGTAGTTAGCGGCACTGATTTCTCACCTTCTTCTCACAAGAATTAAGCTTTCGTTGAACTCTTTTCAATCCTGTGATGGGCATGTCTTGAGACATTGGTGGGAAGGGCTTCTTCCACGGAAAAATGCATTTACGTCATAATTGTCCTCTAATGAACGGTGTTCATTGGTTCTTTTTTCAAGTGAGTTATTTTCTGCTATCGTTGCTTGGTGACAATAGTAAAATATTGAATTTCTAGAAGCATCTTTCCTGTAAAGCCACTCCCATCTTAACACGCTAAATAAGCAGCGACCTTCGAGAATGACTGCAGCGATCAAATTTTTCAATTTTTCCTCAGGATAGTAAGGTAAGAATATGCCTGAACATGGACTTTGATTCCTTCTTTTCGATTTCGATAGTCCACAGCACAATCTGCAGCCTGCATTATTCTGCGTATTCACTGCTGTTCTGGAAAGAACAGATGTTGTCATGATCATGGCCTCAGTGTTTATTTTCTTGGCCTTTCAAGTAAAACTTCAATAGCACGGCTTCAGTATTTTATTTAAAGCCGTCACCTCTTACTCCAAAACGCACGAAGTAAAAAGGAGATAAACCCATACTTTTATTTCAAACAAAGAGAATTTCAGAATGCTTTACATGGATCTAACACATGACTGTTCCCCGACTTCGCTCTTTATTTTTAAGTGTAAACCAGCATATAATGAAGACATTTTGTCCAAAGAATCATTTATTAGGTGTTTCGATTCAAGAGTGTGGTAGCTATTATGCAAAGGTAATACCGTCTCTTTTCAGTCTTTGGTGCAGTTCTCATGTTGCAAAAATGCATTCTTCTGCTGTTGAGGAATGTTCAATCATAGTAGTTCATAGTGGCTCATGTAAACTGTTGGGGAATGTTTGTTTAACCTTTATGAGGGGTGATCTCCGCCAATATTCTGTTTCAAATTCCATTATGACGAACCTGCAATTTCCGGTTCCATCATCAGAACCGAAATTAGACCAACAGAACAGAAATTGAGAAGTCGGAACCGAAATTGAGCTAACAGAACAGAAATTACGAAGTTAGAACCGAAATTGAACCAACAGAACAGAAATTAACGAGTCAGAACCGAAATTGAACTAACAGAACCGAAATTAACGAGTCAGAACCGAAATTGAACTAACAGAACAGAAATTACGAAGTTAGAACCGAAATTGAACCAACAGAACCGAAATTAACGAGTCAGAACCGAAATTAACGAGTCAGAACCTTAACAAGTCAGAACCGAAATTAACAAGACAGAACCGAAATTAACAAGACAGAACCGAAATTGAACCAACAGAACAGAAATTGACACAACCGTCAATTTCGGTTCTAAATGGGACTGGGGCTGTGAAGACAGCGCTGACCGAGTGAAGCCCGGGGAAAACCACTTTACTGCCGTATGTATAATTCCAACATGGCCGCCAATGAGAGTGTGTTTCTTAGAAGTATCAGAGATGTTGTTGGAGAAGTGTTGAAACGGTCGTCGAAAGAGCATTTTATCGCCTTGACCGGCTGCTAGATATTGTCAATAGGTACGCAGATTCGCTGAACGACTGTTGACCTAGATCAAGTCCACTTTCTCCTCCAGTGAGTGACAGGCCTGCACGTACTCCTCGTGTGGTTTTGGCGGTCGCCTCGCATGATTTACAGTTAGATTTTTGATCTAACAAGCGTATCCTTTAGGGATTTACCTCTTTTGTACGATATTATCGGAGGTTTCAAATAAATGTTTTTCAGCAAAGGCTGATTTTGTATTAGACTCCATTGTTCCATCAGTGTCTGTTTGAGGGTTGTTAACTGCAGGGTGGTACGTAGTAACAAAAGGCAAATATCTAGCCTTTTTCTTTTGTGTTAGAGCCGATGGTCTAGCGCAAAGTGAAAGAGACCGTAACTGTTTTAGGATAGCCGCGTGTCCTAAGGCGTTGTTTGAATTTCACTAGGCTGTCCTCAAATGTTGTTTTGAAGAGTTAGTTCTGAGTCTTATCGGCTTCGCCTTTAATGAAACCATTTTTAATGGATGGCATGAGTTAAAATGTGTACATGTATATTGAAAAGTAGGTTTGTAGTGAGTTTTGATGTCCAGAATGGATTCATTTTTGAATCTTTCTCCTTTGAACACCACTGTGTCAAGGAGGGTAATCTCGTTCTCTTATATTTCGGCCGTGAATTTGATGGTAGCGACTTGTTCAATAAATTGATCCACGTCTTTTTATCACTGTCCCAGAGGGTGAAGATATCGTCAATATATCGTCTCCATTCTTTTGGCTTGGTTTCGCTTTGTTGTATCAGCGTTGTTTCAATTTTAGCCATGAAAATATTGGCAAATGATACTGCCATTTTAGTTCCCATGGCGGTTCCATGTGTTTGGTGATAGTTCTCTCCATTGTACTGGAACGATTTTTCGTTTAGGATGAGACCAAGCATTTGTCTTAGGAGGCGTGTTGGGATTGGTGGTTTATAGTTATGAAACGAATCGTATGTCTTGCATACTATTTCCGTTCCCTCTTCTTGAGGTATATTTGTGTACAAGCTAGAGACGTCCATTGATACTAAAATTGTATCTTTACCTATCTTTGTTTTCTCTATAAAACTGATGAAATCAGTTGTATCCTTAATAAAGGATTGTTGTTTTTGCGCGATAGGCTGGAGCAATGTATCAGGGGCACCCAACGAGGATGTAGCTCAAAACCACTTAACATAGCATTGTTGAACGTATTTTAGTATTTAAACGGTAGATATAGGCATATTTTTATCCCCTAAAAACTTTTCATCTGTTCGGATTTCCTAGCTGAAAGTCTAGTGATCCGAAAATTATAGGGATCAAAACTTACCTTTTCGAAAATTTCAGCCAGGAAAAGGCTCCCGAAAATTCTAGGTGGCCTTTTTTAGGGTAAATATCCGATTAAAATGGGTAATTATACCATTTTGTAGATGTTCGAAAATCCTCGGAGAGGCAGGCAAGCAAGAAATTTTACAACAAAAGTTACGAAAATTCTAGTTCTCAAATCGTCTTCCGAACAGATATTTTCCCGAAAATTGCCGTTGGGTGACCCTGATGTATCCACAAATGAGGATATTCGTTCAGTAGGGCCGTCACAACCCGAGATGATGGGTCTACCAACCGGTTTAGGTTTGTGTATTTTTGTAAGTGTGTAGAATATTGGTATTCTAGGCGGACTGGGAGTTTGGTGTTGTTGTGACTATGGTTTGTAAAGTCAGAGAACAGGCTGTTATAGCATTCTTCCTTTTTATTATTAAGGACATGTCTACAAACAATTTCTTTTAAGTCTGAAATTTGTTTTTGCAGATCGGCTATGTTTACATCGTTGTGTAAAATGTTATTCGCCGAATGCGCTTCTTTGAGAGGATTTCTGGTTACATGTTTTTGTTTTCGAGCCGCGAAAGCTGCATTGGCCTTAAGCTTCTTCTCCTGTATTTGGAGTTTTCGCTTATGGAAGCGAGTAAGTGCACTTATTAAGCTCTGTTCGATTTGAAGGGACGCAAGTCGCGGCTGTTGAAGCTAGGCAGAAGAACTCATGAGTCCATGTCTCCTTTACACGGAAAAAGCTCTTCCTCTTCTTCGCTGGTGGAGGCCTAGACTGGTTTCTCGCACCAGCATAAGAATAGATGTAGACGGTCCGGCTGGATACGGCGAAAATAAAGAACGGAAATTTTGCATGATTCTCTCCGAACGTGGCTCAGTCGATTCGGGTGGGGAAACCTGTGACTGAGCCGGTCTGGTTCGGTTCTGTCTGGAGACCGCACCAGCATCATCAAGGCGAACTCCATTCGGTTTTGGCCCTGCCCTTCACCTCTTTGCTAATCCTTCCTCACCCGCCATTTGAATATATTTTTTCCAGGCTGAATTAATAATCATAAATTAAAATATTTTAAAGTGGTTTTCGGCTTTCTGACTCGTTCTTCACGGCCCTGTTAGAACCGAAATTGACGGTTGTGTCAATTTCTCGATTAATTTCGGTTTGTCTTGTTAATTTCGGTTCTGACTTTGGTTCTGTTAGTTCAATTTCGGTTCGTTAATTTCGGTTCTGTTAGTTCAATTTCGGTTCTGACTCGTTAATTTCTGTTCTGTTGGTTCAATTTCGGTTCTAACTTCGTAATTTCTGTTCTGTTAGCTCAATTTCGGTTCCGACTTCTCAATTTCTGTTCTGTTGGTCTAATTTCGGTTCTGATGATGGAACCGGAAATTGCAGGTTCGTCATAATGGAATTTGAAACAGAATATTGGCGGAGATCACCCCTCATAAACCTTCTCAGGTCGAATTTCAAAGCTTTAGATCACGCGAGAACGCTGCTCAGTTTTAAAAGAAGTCTGTGCTCTGTCCTTTTTTTTAATAGCAAGTTTTTTACATAGAAAACACACATGAGTTACATTTGCTAGGAATTGTCGAACAGAATAAAAACGCCAAATTAGCAAGGTTCTTGTTTAGACTACCATTCTTAGTCTTCTTACTGTAACTGATGTTGGTTAAAGTCGTTAAGGACGTCTTCATATTTCCCAAACCTCCAGAGACGGAACTATTCTTGTTAGAGATGAGCTACGGCGGCTAAAAATTTCTTTTTGATGCAAGTGGAATTTTTTTCTCAAGTCAGTTTCCAGGCTTTCGACTGAAATCTGTTAACGTAGAACTTTCTCATAATCGCGTACTATAGTGCGTAAGCCACTCTGAGTTTCTAATTCGTCCTTTATTTTTCTATTTTTGTTTTCATTGTTGCTCTAATACTCTGATCTTTTACATTAGGAGCCTCAAAATAGTGTGTGTTGTATTGTAGCGATTTGAATGGAAATCAATAAATCCATTATTCTTGAAAAATAAATGACTCAACGTCCACTTCTCGAAAGTTATAAAATTAAAACTAATTTATTTTGCGTTTTCTTCATGTTTCCAGAATCATGGATGTTCCAGCTTGGGCCTTCTCCAATCTGTGCATTGGTCGAACTTACGATTCAAAAAACAACAGAGCAGGCATCGATATTTTCCAGCCCGAAATAAAAACCAAAACTGAACATGTCAATCGGTTTTCTTTCCAATACAAATCCATTGAATCAAAAGAAGATGTAAGAGATTTGCTGAACATTTCGGGGAATATTTCTTTGAAAATTAAAGCGAATATTTTCAAAGTGGAAGGAGCAGGAAAGTACATCAACAACAACAAAAAGGATGAAGGTGTTTCTGAAATCCTGGCTGTCATGAAATGTACCACGGTAAGTTAAGATACTTGAAGGACCAAGGATAGCTGTCTTGTGCTATTTTGCCAAATAACGAAACTGGGAACTGGCTACCAATTTGACAGAAAGCAAATGAAAAACTAAACACGGACAGAAAAAACTGAAGGAGACAAAAATAGAGGCAGGTACAAACGTCGGACCAGATCAACTCGCACCGCCAGTCCGTGTCGGATCAACTCGGATCGACTCGGACTAACTCGGATCAAATAAAAAAATAAAAATAAAATAAAATTGGACTCGGATCAACTAGGATCAATATATATATATATATATCTTAAAATAAATTAAATTAGCAAAACTGAAAGTTTAACCCATTTGGAGGGTAAAAAAGGCCAGATCATTTCTTTTCCGTGGCTTTCAGCCGCCATTTTTTTATTAGTACCAGTTCCTCTCGCATCATGTTACGAACTCTTGGTTACGTTACACGACACGTTCTGGTTCAAGGAGACAGATTTGGATGACCTCGAGGAAGGTAAAATCTCGACCATCTTTCTCAGTGAAATGGGGAGCGACATAAAGTCCCTTTACTTATTACGTTGAGTGACGGTTGCTATGCTCAATTTCCTGTTATAATTTTAGCTCCGATCTCGTGCATGTTAGCAGGGGTCAGACTGGCTGTCATCGATAGTTATTTGGACAGAGGCGATGAAACAATTCTAGATTTCGCAACTGTCTGTTTTAAAATAATAAATAATTTCTGTGTTGACTATTTGAAAGAAAATTTTAACAGATCGGACAGGTTAGAGAGTAGGCTCGATTACCAGCCGCTGTTCGGGAAAATGAGCCCGCACTCATCGCCCTCTTCGGGGAGGATCAAAGACCGGACCCGGGAGACGGCGGAAATCGAGCCTAGTTAGAGAGGTGAGAGTTCAAACTTCTCTAGAATGATTCAAAATTAATGAGCTTCATACGCCCAATCAATATATAACGTGACGTGTAACGCAACCACGAGTTAGAATGGCGGGTGAAAGGTAAGTGACGCCGACTGATTATAAACTCATTTTTATGATGCGAGTTGGTCCGAGTCCAATTTTATTTTATTTTTATTTTCACTTTAAAATTTATTTTTATTTTAAATATTTTATTTTTATTTTTAGTCCCTGGCGGTCCGAGTTGATCCGGTCCGACTTTTGCACCTGCCTTAAAAATAGTATTCTAATCGGGTTTTAAAAACTTACTATAAAGCTTGTTGTTTGAAGTGATCTTGAGTTCTAAATGCTCGGAAGACGTATTATTACCAATTATGTCATCGTGGAGTGGAGAGAGTGAGCAAGTAAGTCCATCATTGCGAAAGATTCGGAATTGTTTAAACGCCGAAGGTTACTGAAGATCTTTTATCATAAAGTGCGTTATCTTTTGATAACAAGCCTCCTTATGTTTCATCAATTTTTGATTTTGGAAAGAGGTTTGCCAAGTTTCAGTGGACGATTTTTTCCTCCGAGCCGCCTGTGTCAATGACTGATTAAACATCTTTCCGCAAATAATTTCAGGCTACGCTCACGTTTGCCAAAAGTAAACAAAATGGATCCCATGATTAATGCGTTGAGGGTAAAATAGGGAATTGGGGAGATACGCTGATTTGTTTGTTTGTTTGTTTATAGGTAAATAAAACAATGGATGGATCAACAAGTGTCAAAGAGGAAATGAAGGGCTGCCCAAGTTTGGGAACCCATTACGTACGGAGCGTGACGTATGGCGCTGAAATGGTAGCAAGTCTGAAATTCAAGTCTTCGTCTTCCTCTAAGAGGTGAGAAACGAATCCAAGGAACTGTTTAGTTTGGGGCCAGTGTACTTTGCCAAATAGCCTGCATAACAGGTGCTTTATGAGCCAAGCGGGGCGAACGCGGCATTTTGCGCGAAGCGCGAAACGAGTGCGAAGAGCAAGACGAGGGAGGAGAAAAATATAGTGCCTGTTACCAGTCCATCGTTCTGGCTCTTCCCACGTTCACTAAATGAACGTTGCGTTCCATAAAATTGATGACGCGTTGTTCTGGAATGTTTGTTTGACATTTTTGTCAGCAACAAAGTAACCGTCACGCATTCATGTTCTTTTGACGATGCTGTTCGAGAAGCCCTTCGTTTATTTCCAAATGTTCAGGAATAAACGAAAAACAAAAGAAATGTTTAAATTTATTCACTAAATAAAGTTCCAAAAATGTTCTGGAATGTTTGTTTGACATTTTTGTTGGATGTTCTTTTGACGATGCTGTTCCAAATGTTCAGGAATAAACGAAAAACAAAAGAAATGTTTAAATTTATTGCTTAAGAGGAAAAATGTTCTTGGATTGCTCCCAACTAGGTTAAGAAAAAGCCTGATTTACTAACTTTTTTAAATCAAGTGTTGACAGGCCAAACACGGCTCAAAAGCTCGTGTTGGAATTCGTTTGAACAACACGTTTTCCTTTTTTTCTTTCTCGCCGCTGTGTTTGAACGGGTGTTTCTAAGGCGAAGACCCAAAAACTAAGACCCCATGGACTAAAACGAAGACCTCATGGACTAAAACGAAGACCCCATGGACTAAAACGAAGACCCCCTGGACTAAAACGAAGACCCCATGGACTAAAACGAAGACCCCTTGGACAACTAGGTTAAGAAAAAGCCTGATTTACTAACTTTTTTAAATCAAGTGTTGACAGGCCAAACACGGCTCATAAGCTCGTGTTGGAATTCGTTTGAACAACACGTTTTCCTTTTTTTCTTTCTCGCCGCTGTGTTTGAACGGGTGTTTCTAAGGCGAAGACCCAACCTAAGACCCCATGGACTAAAACGAAGACCACATGGACTAAAACGAAGACCCCATGGACTAAAACGACTGATGCTAAACGTTTATAAATCTAAAGTGAAAATTCCCAACGATGTCAAGGCAACAATGCTGAAATTTTAAGCAATCTTCGACAATCACGGGCAATACCACGAGGTAAAGATTGAGACCTTGCAAATATGCGACATCAAGGAAACATCAATGAAGATGTCAGTATGAAAAATAAGTACACATTTTCCAAAGTAGTGAACTTAGAAAAATAGATAGTCTTTTTCAATTTGTAGACTAGCAGTTCCATTGGCCGATGAACTGCTGCAAGTAGAGTGAGTGACAGTCAAGTACAAAGCTACCCTTTTATCCATGACACGTAGGTCGCACGAGTAGTTGCAGTAGTTGCTTCTAGTAGCTGAAGGTTAAAAATCATTGATATCGCAAGTATTTATAAAGTGCAACGCGACTTCACATCTTAACAACTGGGAAAATCTATCAGTTAAATACATACAGCAAAGTAAATCTGCAATATCGAATCTATTTAAACGTAGATGAAAATGAAGAAATGATCGTCGCAGTGAACGCAATTTATGCAATTGCGTAAAGAAGCCTGAAAAAAATTCAGGACTTCAACGGGATTTGAACCCGTGACCTCGGGTCTTTACGGCTTCTTTACGCAATTGCATAAATTGCGTTCACTGCGACGATCATTTCTTCATTTTCATTTCATTTCCGCTGTTCATATATGATTTATTTCATATATCATTAACCGTAGAGATAAATAGATGACAAACGTAATGCCTCAATACACCACGAAACAGGATTTCCTCCGCTACAATATTTTCACTTCCTACTACGCGTGTATGAATACATGAAAATCAAGGGCCTTGATTCGGGGAAAATTACATCATTGCCAAAAAGCCCGAACGGGATCAACTACGTGCATCACCTCAATCATCGCCGAAAATAAACCACATGCTTATCACGAGTCTCATTTGCATACAATGAAAGTCGTCACGATTCTTATTCCCAGTTTCCACGGCCTCCGCTAGGAACGCCTGGCGCCCCAACCGCCCTTTTGTGTCTTAAATACAAAGAAGAAAAACGACTTGCAGATTATGACTCTCGGTGCTAGGCAACCTCGAGTGACTTGCATCATCGATGCATCTTCAGTATCATCTTCATCACTGTATATGAATTTTTCGTTTACATAGTAGCAAATCTGAGTGATCTCCGAAAATATTTTTCTTGTTCTTTCGTTTATTATTTATAGATTGAACCTCAAAGGTAAATCGGATGGAGGTCTTGATATTCAAGGAGTGGCGACAGCCGGATTAGAGGCGCAGTTGAATAAGCTAACTTCTGATTGCGAGAAAGCAAGCGATTTATCCATTGAGTACTATGCAACAGATCTACCAGATAAAAATCCAACGAACGTGAAAGATCTGGTAAAACTTATTCAAGAGTTCCCTTCCAGATTGAAAAAAATCAATGACGGACTTGGGGTTCCTATAAAGGTATGTTTTCATTGATTTTTTAAAAGAGCAGTCAGTCTAGTATTAAAGTTATTGAGATAAAACTGTAATACAACAATAAGGCTGAAAAACGTGCTGTAGCTATATGGTCTATCTATCTCTTTCGGGCGCACCTGTACCGATTTGATAAGTCTGTCCCAGTCCAGTCTGTTGGCCATGATAGATGCAAGATCCTGCCTCGTAAGACAGGGGTCACTCTCTAATTGGTCAACGAATGTTGTTGCTGTACGCCCTTTTTTGGGCGTCTGGCGTGTTTTGGCTCCCAAAGAAGTAGCTGGGAAACATTCCGATTCTTGCTTTTCCACTACACTGCTGCCCACGTATCTCTAGACTTTTGTTGAAATTGAAGGCAAGTCCCCGTAGAGCTCCTTGTTAGATATATGATCTCTCCAGCTTACGTTTAGAGCAGCACGTAGGAGCCTTGTGTAGCAGCCATAAAGTTGTTTTTCCATGGTCAATGTCCAACTCTCCGACTCACACAATGAAACAGATTCAACTGAAGCTCTAAAGAAACGTATCCTAAGATGACCTAAGATCTCTGATGAGGTTCGATTTCCACACTACCGTTAGTTTGTTGCTACATAGCGGCGCATGCTCTTTCTCCCGGGGTAGTCAATCGATAAAAATCGGTATCGATAAAAATCGATAGCAATCGAGTGATTTTTATCGATTGATAACGGAAATCGGTGAAAATCGATAAACTAAACTGCTGTGTCAAATCGATATTATCGATTTTTCATGATTTTAACGATTTATAACGGTACTTACGACATTGTTGTTTTGTTTTTTGGCATCAGTTAAATAGTACAGCTGAGAAAACACATCCACGAGTAACAACTGATCAACAAACATGAAAAGAAGAAATGTGGAAACTATTACAGACGCAAGATTCTCTCTAAAAACCGTGACCCTTTTGTACATAATAACAGACACGGTTCGGTTTAATTACATTCACAGTTCTCGCAGGCAAGTACCACGAAAAATACAACTTTAGATAACTGAGATTTCCCAGCCTGAATTTCAGACATCCTCTAGAGTCGAAGGGATGCCCGAAATTCAGACTAAAAGATTTCTCTCGATAGCTTTTTACCGTTTTCCGTTTACAATCGATAAAATCACTTGATCCCTATGATTTTTATCGAGTTCGATTTTTATCTATTGGCTTCTCCGGGAAGTAACTACACGTTGAACTGAGGTTATTTTGAAAGGGCGGCAGATCTAATCGTGAAAAACTGGGAAAACTAAAAAATCTGGCCAATGTCGGCCATCCGAAGAAGACTTTAAAGCGGATTTTAAAGAAAAGATAAGGTTTTTCTAAACTTTTGTTTAAAAAAGTGACCAGTAGTGATAGTAAATTGTTTGATCCTTCGACTCTCAATTGCAACTCAATTGTCAACATATTCACTGTTTGCATGAAATCAGTTTTCAATTTTGGATGAACAGAAGAACAGATCGGTGTATCTTCCGATAAAAATCGATGGAATCAGTAAAATCTAGATAAATCGATAGACGAAGCGAGTGTGTCATCGATTTCTACCGATTGATCGATACAATCGATATCAATCAAATCAGATTTACCGATTTTTATCGATTTATAAATCGATACCGATTTTTATCTATTGATTACTCCTGGTTTTGCTTCACGGATCTCGAGGTGTTTCTTCGTTTGATCGATCCAAGAGTAAAGAAGTTCACGATCAGATCTACCTTTCCTAAGAAAAATTTCATTATTTTCAATATTGAGTTCATTTTATAATTAGTAACACAATTTTCGATTAATGAGGCATTGATCCTCTAAGCGAAAAAACTTGACAGGTCGATCAAAATGAAAAAATAAGCGTCGGGAAAAGAAATCAGTTGGAAAGAGTTTCAAACCAGGGAGGTCTGTCCGTACCGTGGTCTTAATAGCCGCACTCCTTATTTAAAAAGCAGCTGAGATTCGTCGAGTACAGGAGCCCATCAAATGGAGCCTCCATCTCCCATCCAAGCCCTTGGAGTCAACCCTTTCCCGAGTAGATTTATAATTAGAACGGTTCCCTTAGCGTAAGGTGATTATGGAGAATTAGCCGGGGGTCAATCAGAAACGGAGAAATACGTTAAATGAATACTGATTGTTTACGGCGCTATTTAAAGACCCGTTGTCCTGTGACGTCATCAAAAACCCAAGTAGTGGTCAAGCTGGTTGTCAAATAAGATCAGCCAAAATTCAGGTTTATTTAATAAGAGATTTTACAGAAAATCTTTTTGTGTTAGTTATATTTCAAACACTTATTTTAAGTAATAATGGTTCATTTGGCTGCTTTTAATTAATTAATATGCTCATTTTTTCAATTTAGATTGAACTTCAGCCAATAGAAAGTGTTTATCCAGAAATGAATAATGTGTCAACCGTCCAAGTGATGGAATGCGACATAGATGATATAGAGAGCCGCTTTGACGATCTCTATGAGGCACAGAGACTTGTGTCAGAATACAAGTTAAAAGAGGGAGTGCTAGACAGCGAAATGAAAAAGTTCAATTCTGTTGTTACCAAGACCCTGCGTACGTTTCGTTCTGCTATATCCAGCCTGGATAAAGAAAAAGTTGCAGAATGTCTAGAGGCGTACGAACAAGCCTTAGATGGAGAAGAATACGATGAAAAATTTGCAACTTACTGGAGAGAGATGATTGCAAAAAAGGTGAGCCATAAGCTTTCTTTAAACCAAAAAGATTTACTTTTTCGGTGCTGGCAAAATCTTTTTTCGCTGAGACTGATAAAATCTACTTATAAAAGGAACGGTTGCTTAAACAAGGAATCAGTTGGGAGTGTAAGAGCAATTAGCGAACATTTGGCTTGCTATTTGATGATATGTGAAGAATCTTCCTAGGGCTGCTTTTGAGGAAGTGATTCTATATGCCTGCCTCTGTCTGTTTGCATTGTCCATTGTCCACCGGTTTGTATAGACTTTGAGGTTTTTGCCTGGTGTGATTCCTTTACTTTCCCATAAACTTTGGCGAAGTCCACCACAAGCTGAGTTGCATTTTTGCAATCCTACAATTCATTTCATTATATATATCCGGTATATATAAACACACATAGACAGGGTACAGCCAGGTGAACTTGTTAACTGCTTGGAGTTTGTGCTATTAATATAGAAGACTGCAAGTCTCAGTAAGTCTGTTCCTTTTCTGGAGCTGGTGAGCAGATGCCTTCTGTTTTCTGAGTACCGGAACAATGGCTATCTGGGGAGGTTGTGCGGGGAGAATAGGTCAGGGTAGCGAATTACATTTACGCAAGATAGGTCTAGCAACAAGTTTCCATGTGGTCGGCCAAAACAAGACAACGATTGCATATGGTCTTACACGTTCTTCCAAAGCGGCCCGGCAGGTTCAGCGTTCCGTGTCACTCGTCTTGATTATGAAATAACTTATCACGATTGATTCACTCCTTTTCTACACAAATGTCCAGTGCTGGCCACAAGATCCCTACTTTCCTTTTTCATCCTTAGTTCCACACTTCTCAGAGGTGTGGAAGTGTAGAAAAGTCTGTCAAAGTCAGGATAATGTCACACTTTTCCCCCTGTTAAGAACCTCTTGTCATTCTTTACTTAGTTCTACACTTCTCAGAGGTGTGGAAGTGTGGAAAAGTCTGACAAAGTCGGGATAATGTCACACTTTTCCCCCTGTTAAGAACCCCTTGTCATTCTTTACTTAGTTCTACACTTCTCAGAGGTGTGGAAGTGTGGAAAAGTCTGACAAAGTCAGGATAATGTCACACTTTCCCCCCTGTTGAGAACCCCTTGTCATTCTTTACTTAGTTCTACACTTCTCAGAGGTGAGGAAGGGGAATAGTCTGACAAAGTCAGGATAATGTCACACTTTTCCCCCTGTTAAGAACCCCTTGTCATTCTTTACTTAGTTCTACACTTCTCAGAGGTGTGGAAGTGTGGAAAAGTCTGACAAAGTCGGGATAATGTCACACTTTTCCCCCTGTTAAGAACCCCTTGTCATTCTTTACTTAGTTCTACACTTCTCGGAGGTGTGGAAGTGGGGAATAGTCTGACAAAGTCAGGATAATGTCACACTTTTCCCCCTGTTAAGAACCCCTTGTCATTCTTTACTTAGTTCTACACTTCTCAGAGGTGTGGAAGTGTGGAAAAGTCTGACAAAGTCGGGATAATGTCACACTTTTCCCCCTGTTAAGAACCCCTTGTCATTCTTTACTTAGTTCTACACTTCTCAGAGGTGTGGAAGTGGGGAATAGTCTGACGATGTGGTGTGCAATGTTGTTAATTTTATTTAGTACTATAACGATCTCAGTTTCATTTAATAGGTCGTCGGCCAGAACACTGAAACTTATTTTAATCTTATCACTGACTGAGCTATTTAATCACGGTAATTAATCCTTTGGCGGCATATAAGTGCATTCAAGCATGAAGCGATATACAGACGTTTTGATGTTGTCATATGACCTCTTTGTGTTTCACCTACAGATTGACACAGAAGTTTGCGAGCAGACCTTCTCTTGGCTGTCAAAATATGCAAAAATGACAAAGAAAATGAACAGAGGACACTTCGTCTTTTTCATAATTTATGTCCAGCATTTACATAACCTTAGAGAAGAGGAAAAACTGAGAAACAGTGGATATATGGCGTGATCTAACAATGATCAAATTTGAACCCTTACTGATAAGGAAGAAAGCATGGTTGGTGATCGGATTTCTTAACTTTAAGTTTCTTTCAACAGCTGGCATTGAAACAATGGTTATATCTGCTATTCAAAATAAAAATAGTTCTTAAGGAAGAATGTGAAAAACCATACAGAAATAAAACCAAGTGCTCATAAAGCTTACTGAGCTTCTCGTGACTCAGGGAAAGTGCAACATTAAACTTAACTTGTCAGACTAATCTACCCTTCCACACCTCCGAGAAGTGTGGAACTAAGTAAAGAATGACAAGGGGTTCTCAACAGGGGGAAAAGTGAGACAATATCCTTACTTTGTCACACTATTCCCCACTTCCCACACCTTTGCGAAGTGTGGAAACTAAGTAAAGAATGACAAAGGGTTCATGACTGGGGGAAAGTGAGACAATATCCTTACTTTGTTGGACTATTCCACACTTCCACACCTCTGAGAAGTGTAGAACTAAGTAAAGAATGACAAAGGGTTCATGACTGGGGGAAAGTGCGACAATATCCTTACTTTGTCGGACTATTCCACACTTCCAGACCTCTGAGAAGTGTAGAACTAAGTAAAGAATGACAAAGGGTTCATGACTGGGGGAAAGTGCGACAATATCCTTACTTTGTCGGACTACTCCACACTTCCAGACGTCCGGGAAGTGTAGAACTAAGTAAAGAATGACAAAGGGTTCATGAGTGGGGGAAAGTGCGACAATATCCTTACTTTGTCAGACTATTCCACACTTCCAGACGTCCGGGAAGTGTAGAACTAAGTAAAGAATGACAAAGGGTTCATGACTGGGGGAAAGTGCGACAATATCCTTACTTTGTCGGACTATTCCACACTTCCAGACGTCCGGGAAGTGTAGAACTAAGTAAAGAATGACAAAGGGTTCATGACTGGGGGAAAGTGCGACAATATCCTTACTTTGTCGGACTTTTCCACACTTCCACACCTCTGAGAAGTGTAGAACTAAGTAAAGAATGACAAAGGGTTCATGACTGGGGGAAAGTGCGACAATATCCTTACTTTGTCGGACTTTTCCACACTTCCACACCTCTGAGAAGTGTAGAACTAAGTAAAGAATGACAAAGGGTTCATGAGTGGGGGAAAGTGCGACAATATCCTTACTTTGTCGGACTTTTCCACACACTCCAGACGTCCGGGCTTTGTCGGACTATTCCCCACTTCCACACCTCTGAGAAGTGTAGAACTAAGTAAAGAATGACAAAGGGTTCATGACTGGGGGAAAGTGCGACAATATCCTTACTCTGTCGGACTATTCGACACTTCCACACCTCTGAGAAGTGTAGAACTAAGTAAGAAGTGAAGAAACTCTGGATTTCATGGCCAGCGCTGGACATGGCTCCTTTTCTAAGAACTTCGGAAGTGGCTCATCGGGACCTTTGATGGGTTGGCTCGCCAACGCCCTGGTCCATCTCGTCTACTGCTTACCAGGACAGTAGGCAACGATTCTATATGGTTTTACACAAACTCTTCTTGTCTCTTTCGTTATTTTCCATGTTTTCAAGCATCGTCCTTGAGGTGGTGTTATCCCCGACAGCTTTGCATATTCGGTGCCCAACACCTCTTTTTCAACCGCGTCACTGTTATCTTCACTAAAGTCTTGGCGCCTTTCCGTTGCTTTTCGTGGACCCTCCCGCTTGTCTGATTGCATTGCAGCTGGTAAGAATCCTCGGCGTCCTCCTCCATCAAGGATACTGTTAAAAGTTTTCGCAAATCATCCATCCAGAACAAAGGGCCTAGTTGTGGCACTAAGCGTGATGCTGCGTACGACTTTCTGTGCCCACAAAATCAGTGGCGAGTAAACTTTTCAAAGATTATTCGGACGCTTACATTACAAAATTACAAAAAATCGACAGTGGAATTTTTTTGAAAAGTTGTTGATTTATTAAGAAAGCTAATAAGTATTGATGTGATATAAGGTTTTAGGAAACGCACTACATCACCTGGGCATGAGACACCCTTGAAGGTATCCGCTAATCTTAAAATCATTAAGGGGAGGCCTCAAGTTCCTTTCTTATGCATAGGCTGTTGCTTTTCTGATTATTAAATCTTTGACTTTTTCGATACGCAGGAAGAAACCCACGAGAACGACGGCAAGGTAAGTTGTATGACCTATATGAGCATCGCATCTAGAAGTATCGATCTTACGTAAGATGCTAGTCTACTCTATGAGATCTGTTGGGGTGCAATCTGATTTATGAGGCAGCAGTCACGGCGGTCATACTACGATCTGTGTCACAATATGAGTCAAGAACTGTTTGAAAGTACCACACATTCCCTAGTCAAGCAGCTTCAATTAAAACAAGAAATTTTTTTTTATACCTTTATATTATTACAATCAAAACAGCATATCATAAAAATATCACCTAATTAAATGCAGTCAAGCTCTGACTCCTGATTCATTTAGGATGATTATGACTTTCTCTAATGGGGAGCGGAATTTTCTCAGTCACTCTCTCATTTATCATAAGTCGCTATTATTACAGTGGAACCACGTGAAATACGACCGTTTTGGCAAAAGGGAAAAGTGGTCGTGTTGACGGGGAGTTCAAGTACAGTTTAATTCTAATATTTGTCACTCGTCACTCTCCTTGAGTTACATAAGATGCTCAATAAAACGCTTTTAGAACTTTCTGTATGTTATTGCTGTTCAACTAGTCCCATCACTGGGCGTTCAACTGGTGGACATATAAAGGAGGATCTTTTCGGCAAGGTGGTCGTAAGGTGGGGGTTAACTTCATAGCAGTGATCTTGATGATGATCTATTTTTATTTTTTGCAGTCTTTAAGAAGTGACATCAAGGTGGGTTATATGAACAATTTAATCATGGCTTGCTTTTGGAAATATTTTCACTTGAACCTTTTAAATGGATGTTTGATACCAAGCAGTACTTTTACCTTTAATCATTTAATTTAAGTTAATTTATGGACTGAGGGAGAAAGTGCAAACAAAATCTTCTTATCCAAGTAAACTACCGTGTGGCGGCATGAAATTTTTGCGGGTTCTAATTTTTGCGATCCGCAAAAAGATATTACCGCAAACATGAATTTTCTAGCCTGGTAAAATATACTTCAGAGCAAATGTTCTCTAACTTAATTTCGCTACACAAAAATACAATACTAGGAAATCGTGTCTGTTCCATTACAACTTGTCTCTTTCGATTAGAAACAAAGCAGGATACAATGAAATACTGGTTCAGTTTACCGTAGTATGTTGCACGACGTACTCAATAAAAACGAAAATATTGTCAAGGCTGGGTACTGGATACTTATATTTGTGAAAATCGCAAAAATTAATTCCCAGCAAGAAAAACCAATCTGTTCTAATCACAAAAATTAGTTCCCGCAAAAACAAGAAATCGCCAAACAGCAAAAATAAACTCCCGCAAAAATTTCGTGCCACACGGTAATAATATGATGGTATGACCTTACGCAATAAATCTCCAAATCGAAATGGAAACAAATCAAACTCAAGCTATCCACTAATAAAATAAATTCGCTTGCTTTGTCACCTTAGCGACTTTATGGGTTAACACTTCCATCTGTTATATTGCCTTCTATTCTGCATTTTTTAACAGTAAAACGTTTCTCCCAAGTAAGAATTGGGCCATTCGATTCCTGGAAATATCAGTGCTGGATACATATAAGCCCATAGTAAAATACAAGGACAATCGCTTAATTAACAGGGGCACCCAACGACTGTTATCTGTAAAATATCTGTTCGGAGAAGTACATGTTGAGGACAGCGAAATATTTCTAGATGACCGTTACATTCATGTTCAATTTTCGAATGTTATCAGTAATAAATTCCCTACTTTTTTCTGAAGTTTAATTTTTCACATTTTACTACCCAGCTTACACTATTTTTCTTAGAAAAAGGAAACCTAAAATTTTTGGATTCTAAAATGTTATGGACAGAAAAATCTGAAAAATCCTCACTTTCGTAGAACGTTAAATTGCACCTAAAATTTTCGGCAAAATAATACTGAAGCCCTTGTAATTTCGAAAACACTCAAGTTCCCCTAGGGTGACCGAACAGATGCAAATTTTATAGCGCCGCTTAGAATGCATTTCTTGATATGAAAAGTACTCTGGACAGCCTAAAAAGTGTCTTTTTTTTCAACGTATTTTGGAGGAAACAATCGTTGGGTGCCCCTGAATTAACATCAGTTCTCAATCACACAATGATCTGAATAAAGAAATAGCGTTATTGGGAATAGTTAGTATGATCTTTCAACTCATTTTTAAAACCGACCCGAACAATTAAGGCAATCCTTTAGTTTGAATTTTTTGTTGTGTTTTTCTAGCTCCCAAGTGGAAAAGACCTCACTATTGTTCTTCTCGGAAAGACGGGAAATGGCAAAAGCGCAACAGGAAACAGAATCATTGGAAAAAATCACTTTGCGTCATCCGCGAAAGGGTCATCTGTTACCCAGCATTGTAGCTTTGGACATAGATCACTTGAACGTAATATTTTCGTGATAGACACCCCAGGCGTTTTAGATACCTCTTCAGTTAAAAGCTTGAAAACTGTAAATCTTACAAGCCAATCGCGGTACGTGGAAAAACAAATTTTGCTTGAACTGAATAAAATTTTTGCACTCGCTCCGAAAGGATTTGACGCTATCATGCTAGTAGCAAGATATGGCACTCGATTTACCAAGGAAGATGGACAAGCATTGAAGCTTCTGACCACATTTTTGGGCAAAGAATCTAAAGAGTACATGATTCTCATTCTAACATGGGGTGACCAGGCAAAGGTTCATGCTGAAGAAGAGAGTATAACCCCTGAAGAATGTATTTCCCAGTGGATAGAGACATTGCCAGAGTGGGTGCAAGAATTTGTTAACGACATAAAGCGTCGCGTTGTGCTTTTTGACAACAGGCTGAAGGAGGAGGAGAATCCAGACGCATTTAAACAGCAACTCTCTCATCTCATTAAGGTTGGTTTGAAGTATTTGTGATCAGTGGAATAGTATATAACTGTTCACTTTCGGTTCACTGATTCTTGGCTCGCAAATCGTGCACGTTAATAAGGGTGAAGACAGACTAGCTCTTTCTAAGACGAAACACATTAGCTCTTTTCTAAATGTTAACCCTAACCCTAACCACATTTCATTTATTCCCCTACCCCCCAACACCACCAACCCCATCACCACCACCTCCATCATCAACACTTCCATCATCATCTACACTTCCATAATAACAACCTCCATCATCAAAACCTCCATCACCAGAACCTCTATCATCACAACCTCCATCATCACAACCTCCATCATCACAACCTCCATCATCACAACCTCCATCATCACCACCTCCATCATCACCTCCTCCATCACCACCACCTCCATAATCAAAACCTCTATCGCCACCACCTCCATCATCACCACCGCCTCCATCACCACCACCTCCATCATCACAACCTCCACCATCACCACCTCCATCATCACAACCTTTATCGCCACCACCTCCATCTTCACAACCTCCATCATCACCACCTCCACCATCACCACCTCCATCACCACAACCTTCATCGCCACCACCTCCATCTTCACAACCTCCATCATCACCACCTCCATCACCACAACCTCCATCACCACCACCTCCATAATCAAAACCTCTATCGCCACCACCTCCATCATCACAACCTCCATATTCCAAACCTCCATCACCACCAACTCCATCATCACAACCTCCATCACCACCACCTCCATAATCAAAACCTCCATCACCACAACCTCCATCACCACCACCTCCATAATCAAGCCTCCATCACCACCAGCTCCATCATCACAACCTCCATCATCACAACCTCCATCATCACCACCTCCATCATCACAACCTCCATCGCCACCGCCTCCATCATCACAACCTCCATAATCAAAACCTCCATCGCCACCACCTCCATCACCACCACCTCCATAATCAAAACCTCCATCACCACAACCTCCATCACCACCACCTCCCTCCATAATCAAAACCTCCATCATCACCACCTCCATCGCCACCGCCTCCATCATCACAACCTCCATCATCACCACCTCCATCACCACCACCTCCATAATCAAAACCTCCATCGCCACCACCTCCATCATCACAACCTCCATCACCACCACCTCCATAATCAAAACCTCCATCACCACAACCTCCATCACCACAACCTCCATCACCACAACCTCCATCACAACCACCTCCATAATCAAAACCTCTATCACCACCATCTCCATCATCACAACCTCCACTAGTGGCTTAGGAAAATAAGAGCAGTTTTCCTTCTAAATTTTCTAAAGCGACCATGTCACAAATATTAGTTAGAAGCTAAAAGCCTAATTTTGGTTAGAAAAAATAATTACTCTAGTGCAGACCTTTTCGTAGACAATTATTCTTGCAACCCTTTATCACGAATCCCACACTATTAAGGACTTATATTTATAACGGGAATGACAGTACCTCACTAAGGCCCGGTTCAGACGCCGTACTTTTCATGAGCCGAACCTAATACATTGAATTAAGTACATGAAAAGTTCGGCGTCTGAATCAGTTAGGAACGCCTGTTTCAATTTGGAACGGCTCAGCCGTTCTTTTCGCCTAGCCCGGCCGGGAATTTCGCCTTTGGATCGACTTTGGAACGCCTTTGATTCAGACGCCGAACTTTTCATGTACCGAACCAAATGCAGAAATTCTTATAACGTATTTTGTAAGCAGTTTGACCGAAATGCGCATTTTTCGCCTTCTGAATTTAGTTCGGCTGGAATTAAGATCGGCGTCTGAATCACTTTAGCCGGTCTAAATAATTTGGGTCGGTCTTAATTCGAATTAGGTTCGGCTCATGAAAAGTTCGGCGTCTGAACCGGGCCTAAGGAATCAACACGGCGGTTTGTCAAACCAATAACTTAGTTAACCGTCTCCTATGGTTTAAGATCATTTTATCAAAGGTGAAGTCAACAGAACGATTATTGGCCGACCTTAGAGCTGTTCAAGAGATTAAACCAAAAATTCTGTTCGCCAAAAATTCTGTTAAAGTTCATGAGCAATTCTGTTTAATATTTCTACATTAAGCTGAAGAGCTTAATTTAAGGTAATTTGCTGAATTAGATTGTAAAGATAACGTATTTAATTATATCATTCCCTTCAGACCATTGACAACATGAGTCCGGGAAAGGGTCCGTTTAACAATGACCTGACAAAGGCGTCTAAGGAAGTTTTTGATGAGCACGTCAGGAACGCTTTGGACTCCAGTGGGTTTACTATAGAGTTTGATAAACTGCAGCAAGAGAAGGAAGAACTTGTATCCCTGCTAAAGGACGGAACCCTCAGCGAGGAAGAAAAGATTGAGTATACAAACTTGCTGAAGGACGTCAACGAAAAAATTGATGCCAAACTTAAAGAGAGGGAAGCGATAGAAGATGAAAAGAGAAAAGAACAGGCGGAAGAAGAGATCAAAGAAGCGTCGGGTGGAGCGGCAACACAGAACGTACAGGAAAAGGGCGGCTCGATGTGCTGCATTTTGTAACAACTAAGTATTTGTACCATTTCGAAGCAGTTCACGCATTTTCTTTTCTTTATTTACATTCAACTACGCAATTTGTAGGAATTGAAGGGGCCATAGTTATTACATAGCAAACTTTCTTTTTCTAAAACGGACACCCTTTTTGATCTCTTAGAGAAATTTCCGCTCCTAAAGAACGGTAGGGACAATCTCTAGGTATCGTTTTTAGAAAGTTATTCAGTCGCCATTGGTGCAATCTTGCTATTTTGCAACCTTGTTGCTGGAATTAAGCCTCAGGAATCCGGAATCTCGCTACGACTGGAATCCGGAATCCAAGATCCTCTGACAAAGAATCCCGAATCCCTCCAGGAGTCCGGGATCCACCAAGTGGAATCAAGACTCTCTCGGATTGCCTTACATGGGGCGACTTCGTATTGTTGGCATTTTTTAAAAACTTTAAAAAGTTGTTAACTTCCCAGTGATCAGCAGTGCGGGCATTATTCAGATGCTTTTACTTTGATTTGCTGCCTCAGTGTTTGTCATGATTGGTTCAAGCTAAGAGGGCCATGGGTGTTGTTTGCGACCTGTACAAAGGATTCTCTTCATTCCCTTGGTTAAGGCAGTGGATCGCGGTGGTAATTGCAGAAAAAATGTATTTTCTGTCTTGTGTAGACTGGCTCGTAATGTTCTCACCTACTTGTAGTTTTCTAGTACGTGAACACAATGAATATACGGGAACAAAAGATTACAGTCACGGTATTTATAATATCCAGAGTCTACAATATTAGCACTGATGTGTCAAAGATCAAGGAGCACCTGTTTATCTCCAGGATCTATAAGACCTTTATAGAACTTGCCGTAGCCTTAGATCAGGAAACATGCAGCTTCTGAAGACACAATCTTATAATTTAAAATCGTACGGGTTCAGGGCATTTTCTATATGTGCCCCTCAGCTTTGGAATGCTCTTCCATGGGAGCCAAGAGTGTGCGATTCTATAGGTAGTTTTAAGAAAGCCCTGAAGACGTTTATTTTCAAAAGGGCTTATCGTTGAGTAAAACTAAGACAAACCTTTTTACGAATTTATGTTAGAGATTGGCCCCAAGATTTTGAGATTTTATTTTATTTTTTAAGGCAATTTTCAATTTTTCATTAATGTGACGCGCTTGTGCATGGACTCTTAAGGAATAAGCGCTATATAAATAAATTGTTATTATTATTATTATTAAGGAGCAATGAAATAGTGAGTCAGACTTAACCCTGAAGGTAAAAACCCTTCACAGCTAATTTCATAGTGTGTTACAGGCAACATTTTCTCTTTAAGTTTTTTTGGAACTGCTCCAAAATAAATTGCTCACCTTACTAAGTTAGTTTCCATGCGATTCATGGTTATGCAACTCAAGCTTCGTTAGAAATTTCTTGGAAAGAAATTGCATTCGCATCTAACAGTGAGCCGGTATGTTTAGCCTAACTATTTCACAGCTCACAAGTGCAGGTCACTGATCTATTCAGAAATAACTGAGACAAATTTTTCGCCCCCTATATAACTAAATAACTATTATAACTATAACTGTTTTTGATTTTGGATTAGGGATAGGACTAGATACTTTTAGTGTTGTTTATTTACCGTAGCACTCAAACCTGCACTTGTGACCTGTGACCTGTGTTTTGTATCTGCCGGACTTAATGTCTTTATGTACCATCAAGCCAAACAAGTTTGAGAATTTTGTATCAATTTTAATAAACAAATCTGTTTAGTTGTGCTAAATATGTAGATTTGGCCAGGGCTAAAAGCGAAGCTCCTATTAACTAGAATTTATAGTTTAAATCAAACAATAAACTTATATTCCACAAATCAGTTAACTTTAGAGCACATTCATGTGACTTTTGAGGGAAAGGCTAGGTGATTTTAGAGAAAAGATAATTTGCAAACAGTCCAAGCTAAGAGTGAACTTAATCTTACATCGATTTGATAGCCTTATATGTACACCCAAAAAATAGCGTAGCCATAATGGCTCTTGATCACAGTAGATTAGGCCTCGAAAACAAATTCTTGGAAAAACAAATCAGGACGAATTTTTTGCGTTCGACAAGTTTTAGTACTTTACAAAATCTTGCCAACAAGTCGCAGATGCTGCATAAATTTTCCACTTGAATCCTCTTCGCTAGCGCGCCTGTTAGTTGCCTGTTAGTTCTTTCTCTTTCCCGTCGCTCTTCTTACAAGCAAATAGTTTGAATTCAATCCGCTATTGTCTGTTGCCATAACAATTTTTTCGAAACAGTTTACTAGAAACTGAGCACTACGGTCACAAAATCCTTATGCAATGAAGTAGTTGAAGTAAACATGTTTTTGAACGCGACTACAGCCACGCCATTTCTTGCGCGATTTCCCGCCAAGAAAAAGGCGGGTTGCACAAATGCATCGCGCGATTTATAACATACTCCTCCCCCGGACGGGCTGACACCTGATTCCCTTTCCTCCCCCGCAAAGAGTGTACGGGCGTACGCTACGTCATAACCAAATTTTCTCGGATGGATGGTTTACCAAATTTTCTTACCCATGGTGCTCCGCTGGCGCGCTTCGCGCACCGGAGCTCCGCTATAACAGTACACCACCCCGTTATTTTGTCTGTTGTATTTCACATCATGTGACTCTTCACTTTCAGTTTTGACTAGCAGAACGAGAGGGAAAGTGAGCAAACTCATGCTGAAGAAATTGCATAGAAGACGAGAAACACTTCTTGATTGTACTGAATACGATAGTCTTAGACAGAAACTTTATTTTCATATTTCTGAAAATGATGCAACCTTCATCAATTTAACAGATCATGATAGAACGTTATATTTACTCAGATTAGACAATGACAATACTTCACAAATTATAGCCAAATATGCCCATCTAATGTTTAAAAAACGAAAACAGTTCCTGAGTCAAGAATCTAATTGATCAGGTAATTAAATTATAGTATAATTATTATTGAAATAGTATATGCCGTATAATTTTGTTGTTTCCCTTCATATTTCTTTCTTTTTAAATTTGTTGCTGCGGAGCGACCGAAGGGAGCGAGCAGCAACATAATCAGGATTTAAAGGAAATATATAAGGGGCGACGAATTCTCGAATTCATCACTTTTTACCACAATGCATTGCATTTAACCAGAGTGCATTGCGCCACGAACAACTCAAATAAAAACACGGGGAAGTTCGGTGGGTGAGAGAGTGCATCGTTCGCTGCTCAGACTTAGAGTTTTCTTTGTGGCAAATTTTCTACAGCACGGTTAGAGGTCTTACCAAATTTTAAGACACGCAGGGGTCTTTCAGATGAGTACGATGGTTAACTTGGGGATTGGATTTCAATTCAAGAACCTTTTTTGACTCGTCCAGGTGTTAAACCTGACGAGAAGATGAGCATTTGCTCTTCGACTCCGCAACACGGGGGATATACAAATTCCAGCTTGCTAGAAGGTGATGTGAAAGTGAGAAAATGCCATGCAATGCTATTCTTAAGAAACTGTGTGAGCCGAAAATGGATGTGATTTTGACCATTCGTTTCAAAATAACAGCGAAAATCGAGATAACAAAACATATGCTTTGTGTCCTACTTTGCAGACGAGGACGTGTATCGGCGTTTTGAAAAGCATAATTATGTTCTTTCATTCATTTATTGCCATGGAATATGTGTTTACATTGTTTTTTCACTGTTAATAGCTCGGTTAATGCGGCTGGCGATCATCTTGCCGGCGGAAGTTTCATGGAAAAGGAATAAAGTGGAAGACTTTTCCTGCCCACTACGTAATCAGTCTCTGTGGTGTAGTGGTTAGGTGTAATCGCGTCGAGTCGAAGGTGCCGGGTTCGAGTCCTATTGAATTATTCATTCCTTCTGTCATTTTTTTTTCCGTTTTTTGTGTTGTTATTTTCTATAAATATATAGCTAAATAACTGTTACTTAATAAAGCGCAACTAACAGCAAGAAAAGTATTGTGTTTCCAGAGAAAACATCGTGCACTGTATATTAAATATATGGATAAACGATCTGAATTTCTATTATTTCCTACAACTTACTGTGGGAAAACTAGAGTTGATAACCACTTGATCATTTTCTAAACAACGTTCCCACGAGTTCTTTCTATAGACTGATAGTAATTATTCTAGTACTTTCCAACATGTAAATAGGACATTCAATGTCATTTTTGATTCTCTTAATTCACTGCCTAACTTATGCCAGTATCAACAGAATGTGCCGCAGCATTACTATCTTTTAGATACCCTAGTTGTAGTTGTAAAAACCTTTATTGTAACTAGACCGATGCCTCCCTTTGGAGAGTAGGGCGCAATAAAGATATACTATACTATACCAATTAATGACAGTCTTCTTCCAGGCTTGTGAACAGCTACAATAGACTTACGCCTGTTGAGATAACGCGAATGAAAAAAAAAAATGGTGAGAACGGTAAAATTTTCACTAGACTGTTTAAGCAAAAATCTACGAGTCTATGGAAAGTGCTTTCTTTTTTCCATTAAACAACCCACTTCGTATCATGTGCATGACGGACAGTGCGCAGAGTCCTCGGGCTCCATAGTCAGCGGGTGTCCTTTCGTCAGATAGGTACTTCATAGAAAGCTTTCTATCGGTACATTGTTATTACCCAACCTCGTCCCCAGGGTCTTCCCGCATTCCAATATGGCGGCGGCAAGAGAGAAGACCCTGGCACGCAGCAGAAATCACGTGATTGATTTGTTTTGAGAGTGGAAAATTAATTCAAAATGGCGGCCAAGATCAAGAGTGAGAGGATCTGGGTACGAGGTCTTGAGGCTGGTGAAAAACAAACAAAATGGCGGCAAAGGCAAACTTGAAAGAAGCTAAAAATATTCAAGATTGCACTAAGAAGCCACAGGAATACGGTAGAATGATATAGCGATCTTATTTTCTTTTCAATGACCTTCATTTTTCAGCCTGAACGTTCTAGCGTACACGGCACTTAACAACTGTCTACAACTTAATTTTTCGATGCCGGCCTTTTTTCACTGTTTTCTTTTTGCCTACTCTGAGTGCCAGAAGTTCAGTTTTCTCCTTTCTTGAAAGGACGCACTTTTTCTAACCGTGAGGGCATTTTATCTCATCTTGGAAATTTCGAGAACAGACCTCTGAAGCCAGGGAATTTTTTTAAAATGACGCTCTAAAACCTCTGCCGCTCTGAAATTCAAATTTATTGATTCGCAGACACTTAAAGCTGATAAATTATCGTCAGTTTTGTTACAGATCTTCATGGGGTTTCTGACTATTGTCTTTCTATCTGCACACATTTGAACTGAACTCTGATCTGTAAAACAACAATTTTTTTCCTGAAAACAAGAACCAGAGAACACTATTTTGTTAATATAATTTGAGGAAACTTTGGTTGTAATAACATGAAAATTAAACAGTTCCTTGTTCAGTTTGGATATTTTGTCTCTTGATCCGGTACAGGTAACAAGTACAGGTAATAACTGATTATTGTCAATCTTCATCTACTTCACAGTTCCTAGACGTTTTAGTTGGTTTTCGATGGGGGCCTTATTTAATCTAGCAAGGACGCTGGTATTAATCCCCACAAAAAACAAAAATGCCATATGAAAAAGCCCAAATACAAGAAGGTTGAAAGTCAAGCAGCTGAGGATCAAAACAAATCCGAACTTCCAGTTGGTGAATAAATCATCCCGGATCGGTCCACACGAAATTTTACAGTTGTCAATGATTGATACAGTCTTTTATTTATTAGTGAAGAATAATAAGGGGAAGGGAGGTGGGGTGGGGGTTAAAACAGAGGGGGGCTTATTGTCAAAACTTTCCTCCATGAAAAGGGGGGCTTATTTTGAGAGAGGAGGGGCGGGGAGGGGCTTAATAGAGGATTTAAGATATTGCTATTATTGGTTTTTTGCAAATTGTGCAAATTGACTAAAGGTTAGACTCCAGTTGTTCAAAAATGTGATAGTCCTATCTGAGTCACGTGCACTGTAAACGTTGCTATCTCACTTGGGGATAATAGGTCTTTTAAGTCAAACACGCTTTGCTTGTCAGATGGGCCCTTTCGTGCTCTAAAATTGAGACATGACTTGATAGAGGTGTGCTGAGTATCGATCATAAACTATCATTGATCAGAAACGTAAAGCAAAGTGAGTCTTGCTTATAGAAATGTTCAATTGATTATTGTGGAAGATTAACAAAAAAGTTGTTGACAAATAAGGACATTCATATTCCTGTGCTGTCTTGTTGATGGGCTCATAAAGTAGTTTATATGATGTTTAGTTGGTTTAACTATGCGACAGACAAGCCTCTGCTTGCAGGGTAGGTTTTTTGTTTTGTTCACTAATACAAAATGATTTTCAGTGTTGAAAGTGGTCCACACATAACAGAAATATAACTGTACTATAATCGGTTATCAGTTTAATAGTTGGGTTAACCTGTTTATTTCTGATGATATGATTATGATAAAGACACTATGACTAAGACTAACCAACACCTTAAAGAGACTTTAAGCACAGCACATCTAACAGCTTCAACCTCACAGTCCAAAACCTAAACAAGCTAAGAGCCTTGCCTAGTCCCTGTGCGGCATTTTCTCCGGCCTTCTTGGTCAATTCATTTCGGTGACGTATCTTAGGCGAACTGGCGGAAAACTATTTCACTACTTTGCTTGGGACCACGTGACCCGAAACACATTGGCCGTGACTACGCAACTAAAAGCCCATTATGCTAATGGAGACTCTGGCGCAAAACACTCCAAAAGCCTTGTCATCCCTACATGAAAAATTCCATGATC